GAAATACATTTCAAACATCCTAATTAATTCCAACATAACGATTGATCATAAACATGAAGAATAAATTATAACAATTAATTTCATGCAAATTATGATAAAAAAAAGTTAATTGTAAAAATTAAATAGAAGATGACTAGAGAAATTTGACACCAAAAATTTATAGTGATTCAGCAACACCGGCCTACACCACTCCCCAAGCTCCTCCTGGGTGTCATACTAAGAAACTCGACTCTTTTACGGTAAGATTCAAACTGGTATAACACCTTTTTTCGAGAGCAACAAAAAACTCGATCATTTCCACGAATTAGAATCAAACCTGTTACAATGCTCTTTTTCGGACTCAGGAACAACCCTTACAAGATTTAGAAATTCGAAGAACAATCTCACAAAACACTCTAGTAGATATAAAATTTTTTGCTCATAATTGTTTTTTTCAAAATAAAACTGACTAAGAGAAATGAAATTTAAAAGCACAAGATATCTAAAGTAAATTTTCTCCTACAATAAACTAGAATAATATTGAAGCTTTGAAGAGGATAATAATAGGAAATCGAAGAGAAAATGTTGTGTAATTTTGAGAGAAAAGAATGGAGTGAGAAGAGATTTGAAAATGTTTGAAATTAGAATGAGCTTGGGACCATTAGATCTTAACAATTAAAGATCAAATATGGATATTTAATTTGAAAGATAAATAATGTATATCTATATCTATAAAATATTAAAAAATATGGAGGTGAAATAAATATTTTTTGGACAATATTGACCCTTATTTTTCTGTAATACCAAAATTATCCTTTTCTTCAATTTATGTTTCTCTCTCATCCATCCATCTTCTCTTTAACGTGGGACTCTCCTATCTTTTCTCATTTATCTCTCCCTTAATTAATTATAATTTTCTTAAATTTCTCTCATTAACTTTTGATTCCCTCTCCCAACCATCTAAATTCTTGAAACATTATTATATCTCTTAAATTAGTTAACAATTTATTAATAATTAATAGGATAGATTTAAAATACAATTTTCTAACAAAATTAGATTCTAGATTTAGTTTTGTCTTTCATTATTTATAAGTCTAAATTGTAAGAGAAAATTTAAATATTATTCTATGATGTAATAATATATCTTTGAAATATTATTTTACAATAACAAGAGATAAATTAATAATTAACAAATAAAAATTATATAGATCAAAATTGACAAAATATATAATTAAAAAGTAAAATATGAGAATATCTATATTTTTAAATTGAGATATTAAAAATCAATTTAAAATTTCATAAGATTTAACATAAAAAAATTACGAATATTGAACATTTTGTGTAGGAGAACAAAAATTTTAATATTATTCTATTATGTAATAATTTATCTTTGAAATATTATTTTATAATAATAATGAAAAAATTAAATTAATAATTAGCAAATAAAAATTATATATATCAAGACAAAAAAAAATATATTATTAAGAATTAAAGTATGCGAATATTCATGTTTTTAAATTCATTAAAAATTTCCTAAAAATATCAAAAATTTTGTCTTTATTTATATAAATTAAATTTAAAATTAAATTTTTTACATTTAATTAGGTTGAATGGTGAAACATGAAAAACGTTAGAATTTCAAAAGTTTTTGTAACTTTTCTACTTCTTACGAGTATAAAAGTGGTTCTCTTCCTCCTCATTTTCACATTAATTTATTCTTTTTTTTTATACATATTTTTTTCTCTTTAGTTCGAATTAGTGATAGAATACTAACATTTTCAATATTTTTTTTATGTTGTAGAGCGTTGTTTAACAATTGTTGATCATTGTGTGTATCTTGCAAGTATTTGTTAGTTTGATCTCAAGCATCGATAAGAAGTAAATATATTTTATGAAAATATATGATAATCGTCTTGATTTTGTTCTTCAATATTGCTATTTTTAAATTCAAACTATTTTGTAGTTAATTTTAATATCATTATTTTTTATTTTAATATATTTTGACATATTTAAAAATTATTAGGTTGTTTGTTTTATTTAAATACGATATGATTAATCTTTGATTTTCTCATATACATGAAGAAAAAATAATCATCCTATAATTTTATTTTATGATATACTTTCAACGAACATTAAATAATATTTTTTAGGAATGCAATGTAAAAAAATAATTTTACTAAAACAAATATACCATTATCTAAAGTTATTTTATTTAAAATAAAAAGTTAAAAGTAACGTATATCTTCATATTTAAAATTTTGTTTGAAAGTAAATTTTATTGTTAGCACACAATAACAACATTTTTAATACTAATCAGAACATAGTTGATCAGCTGTTAATGCACGTTTATCCATCCATGAAGTTGTTGTAAATATATATAAATTAATTTATTCAATCAAATAGTGAGCTATTTATTTTAATAAGTGTTACTAAATTTTAAAAATAATAAATAATTATCAAAATACATAGAAAAATCACTTACTAATATATAATTTATTTTGTTATAATTAAAAATGATTAGTATTTGATAGATTCATAACTTTTTTATAACTAAAATTAACAATAAATATATGATGCAATAATTGCACGTGTTAAATCACTGGTATATCTAAAATTCCAATGCCTACTTCAATTTTCTTAATCTTCCGACTGGTTTTTTTTTTCTTTTCTTTTCTTTTCTTTTCCATTTTTTTTAAATAACACATATTGAAACACACATCTCTTTTTCTCAAAAAGATGATTTAGTCACCATGTCATTGTCATGTGTATTTTTCTTTCAATTTGTTTCAGTCATAACTTATCCATATTTGAGCTTTGATTGGAGTGATTCAAGATGTGTTAGAATTATTGTTTCGAGTTTTATGCGGCAAACACTAAAATTATCGATAAACAAAATTAAGTTTGTTTTCATCAAAATAGTTGTCGGGTCTCTTCTGAGATAGGGTTTGGAGTGGCCACCAATCATATACTAATTTTTTTTATAATACTCTTTTCTTGAATATCATTTAAAAAAATTTCGAATTGTCCAGTATTCCACCAATTAGTAACCCAAGATTCTAGGTTTTTATTAAATGAAAGAGAGATCCACCAGGGCAAAAATACTATAGATACAAGATATAGAAGGGGAAGAATTCTTTCTTTTTTGCCATTTTTTCTTTTCGTCTTTTATTTTTTAATGAACTCACTTCATTCGTTAACTCTCTACACTACTAATATTTAAATCAAACGTAAGTTCTATTACAAGTCATATGGATACTATTATGAATCAATTCCCTGTTTTTTAGTTTTTGGTTTGTGATTCATTTGTTAGTCCTTGAATTTCGAAATAATACAAAAAGAAAATAACAAAGAGTCCACTTTTGTTACTGTGGAGTGGATTTACATACGCATAAAAAAAAAGTTTGGACAAAGAATGTTTTCGGACTGTTCCATATACGTCTGCTTTGGCTCAAATGAGCATTCTGAAGGAATTCCAATGTGTGATTGCTCACCTTTTTTAAAAAACTTGGTCTACACAAACAGAATTTTGGTTTGGGAGTCGGTTGAGCGTAGGGAAAGGCTACGACACCCATTCGAAAACGATATTCTATTTTGTCGAAAATTATCCTAGTATTTTATTTGGTACAAGGAAAAAAAATTTATGTTTTGATTGAAATGTCTCACGTTATATTAATTCATATTTTGTTATAAGATACAAATAATTAATTAATTTTAAAGCCAACAGCACAGTCTCATACCACCTTTCATGTAAAGTGTAAACTCCCTTTTTCACAAATTTCTTTTTCATTTTCTAGTATTCTCTCGCTTCTCTGCATTTTTTTTTCCTTCTTCAATTCAAGTTGAGCAATGCATGATTCATTCACACTTCTCCAACATCTCTTTTGTGTTCCATAATAGCCTCTAGGGTGTTCACGGGTTGGGTTGGGTCGGGTTAGGGGATTTTTTGGGACCAACCTAAATTTTTAGGTTGTACATGTACAACCCAACCCAACTCAAATTGATGGCCAACCCAACCCAACCCAACCCAAAAAAATCGAGTTGGATCGGGTTGAGTTGTCGGGTTGTAGCTATTAATGAGTTTTTCTTATATGCTTATTTTTTTCTTGAGACCAAGAAAAAGGAGAGAGAGACAGGATGAGAGCAATCAAATCTGAAACTAAGAGGAGACACATAAAAGAAGTAGACGCGAGAGAGAGGGCAAAAAAAGAAGAAAAAAAGGCAAAGAGAACCCAAGCAGAGGCGTTGGTCTGAAACTTACCTACTTAAAAAACGGCGGGGTGGCAAGGTGGTGGGACGGCGACGGATGCAGCAGGAGGTGGGGTGGGAGGAGATGGTGCGGTGGCAACGGCGGGAGGAGGGAGCTTCAAATTCAATCTTGGATGATGGATAAAAATGGAGGAGAGAGTTTGGTTGGGTAAATAGAGGAGAGGAAGAGATTAGAAACTAGAGAAGAGATGAAACCCTAAATGGAAATGGATGGTTGAGATTAAAAGAAAATGGATGGTTAAGATTGAACCTAAAAAATAAGGTTTTGATTAATAATTATTATATATATGTAATATTACTAATATATATATTTTAAAAAAAGGATGTCGGGTTGGGTCGGGTTAACCCGAAATTTTCAAAGGTCAACCCGAGACCCGACCCAACCCGATCGGGTTGGGATTTTTCTAACCCAACCCAACCCAATGTTTAATCTAACCCAACCCAAGTTGGGCTGGGTCGGGTTGTCGGGTTTTTTGAACCCCCAAATAGTCTCACAATTTGACTCTTTAATTTCTCTTTTAGCTTCAAATTTTCACTCTAATTTTGGAGTTGTTAATTCTCCTCCTGTGGCATTGGACAGATTTTCGGGAAATTGACAAAAACAACCTAAAATAATTTTCATTTTGCTCAAATAACCCACATTTTTTTAACTTACTTTTCTAATCTATTAAATTATTTTCTGAAAAAGCAGTACAGGTGAAAGGACTATCATACCCCTTTAGTAACGTTGGAGAAACCCTTTCAACTTCCCGTTTTCTTTTCCCCCCTGTTTTCTCTCCCCTTGCCTCCCGCACCGGACGTGCAACTTACGACCCACGACGAACGACGGCGACGCCACGACACTAAGCAGCATCACTCCGGCGCTTCTGGTGCAGCGGCGACCCTCCCCTCCGGCGTGTTTCCAGACAACGTATCAAAGCCCCAAACTTCTCTTCTCCCCTCCTTGGTTTTCGGACTTCTATCGTTTCTTAGAGGACGTCAAATTTTCAAGTTAAGTTTGATTTCATCTATTTCATCTACTTCAATCGTTTCTTAGGTTAGGATTTTGGATGATTTTGAATGATTTATGGTTTTAGTCTGTTGTGAAAATGTGATTGGGTGTTTTCTGTGATGGGAGAAATGTGAAATTGTTTTGGAAATTTTTCTAGGAGTGAAATGAAATGAGCACAAAACGTATAACTTGGGCAAGTATTATTTTGATTTCTTTTATAAGTTGGTTAAAGGTTTCATATTATTTCATTAGTTTAATTGTTTTTGGAGTTGGAACTTATGTTGGTTAATATTCTTTTAGGTTGGAAGTAGTATCGTTACATTGGACTTGTGACAAGGTAATTGTAGGAATTTAGTAATGCTCTCATTTGGAAGGTAGAAACTTTGGAGGCGTCACTTAAATAGACGGCTCTGACTTCGTTTCCATCTCCTTGTTTAAAGTTACAGCCGAGCCCGACAACCAAATAATTGTGCGCAAACTGAGTCTTGATAGTGTCTGCTATAGATAAAAGCTTGCATAATATGTCGGACTCGGAATCTGAACAAGTTGCAGGAAAAGAAGGCATTGAATGGATAATGAATCTTCCAGATGTGCCCATGAAGCTCCCACCGCACCTAGAAATGCAGAGGACCCGAGTCGAATGCAAAGCCGATGCTCCCATTCATGTACTCATCTTTTCCCTCTCTCATATTTTGTTTGTTTTGTCATCTCTTCTTTCTCATTCGAATTCTAAGAATGATGTTCGATTTGAATCGAGGAAAATATAAATTTTGTATTTTTTGTTGTGGAGGGTAAATAGAAGCTTGCCCAACTTTTTGTCCTTCAGATTGAGTAAATATCTTTTTTAACACGTTTAGTACAGTTTATTGAGTAAATATCAACCTATTTAATTAAGTTTCATGCTTTTTGGAGAGAAGCAGATTTAATGGTTATGACTTAGAAGCCTATATTATTATTTTCTTTTCCATCCCTGTAATTTACTGGAGTTTTATTTATAGAACTTGTAGTCGTTATGTTTAATTGACTTATTTTAATTTCCTTATCATGGTCCTTGTGAAATTATGTTGGCTTTTGTAGACAGATACCATACAGTATTCTGGAGCATATGCTTCGATGGGTGTTGATAACAGTTTACGACTGGATTATTTTCGCAACAACTTTAAAATTGAAGTGATTGATTTAGGAGAGGATGACATTGAGTTCGACATGATCGGTATTGACCCAGCACTCGCTAATGCATTTCGTAGAATCCTTATAGCTGAGGTAGGTAATCTAGCACAATGAAATAAAACTAAGTTATTTATTCTTTTTGGCTGACTTTTGGTATTTACTTCCTTGTCACCACTTTTTCTGGGCTATCGTGCGATAAATATATTAAAAGGCTATTGAGGCTTAGCCTCAAAGCATAGTCTCGTAGCTTACACTTTCTTTCTTCATTTGAAGCTTATGTCTGTATGGAATAAACATATGCTTGCATGAGAATGTATGAAAGTTTGGAATCTTTGTGTCTTATGTAACGGTTTGAAGAATAATGACGGTTTGTCGTCTTTTCTTCAAAATTTTAGACTTTGCTCAAGCTTATGTGTTCAAAGCTAATAAAATAGGAAAGTTTCTTATCTGAAAAAAAAAAGCTAATTAAAATAGGGATTTTAGTGGTAAGGGCTTGGAATATTTGGAATTCGTCTTGTTAGAAAAGTTGCTAGGTGCAAGCCTACATACCCTGGTTAGGTTATAGAAAAAAAATTGGGGTTGTAATGTTTAGCCTATTATTCCTTTTGCTGTATCTTAAAGAAACAATATGGACAAAAGTTAAGCATGAGGCAATCCCATTAACTTTAATGATGATGATATTGAGAATGGCCTTTAGAATCTTAATTTAAAGAAGTGAGACTTTTTTATTTTAATAAAATAATAATCATTACGACATTGACACCAGTGTTTGAAAAAGCCCTTTCAGGCGCATGCCTAGGTGCTAGGTGCAACTCTAGTGCCTCGCCCCAAAGAGGCGAGGTGACACTATGAAGGTGCGCTTTAAGCGCGTGCCTTCCATTGAAGCCCCGAGGTGCAAATCGTTGCACCTCCGGGACTTCTGTGATAACTAGGGAAAAAAACTAACCCATACCATTTTCTTCTTTTTCTCCACGATTCTTCTCTTCTTTGTGCTTTCATTTCATTTGTTAAATTTCTCTCTGTCTCATCTGGTTAAAGAGGAAGAAAAGTAATCGGAAGAGAGGCATAAGAAAGTGAGGAAGAAAGGTTGGAAGAGGGGAAGAATAATCGTGGAAAGGTAGAAGTAGAACTTAGAGGGAAGAGGAGAAGATAAGTTTGAAGACAGATCTTTAAAGAAGCTTACATTTTCTAGGCCCATTAAAAAAGCTTACATCTTCTAGGTTCACAAAAGAGGCTGCATGGCAATATTTCTCTTTCCAAAGTTACAAAATTAATTTGTTTCATTTATTTAAGAAAACCTGATGTAGTCGGCTTAGTTGTGGTTTATTCTTTTAGGATTAGCTAGTTATATCTTCAGCTTGTTTAAAGTTTAGTAGTTACTGCACATTAACTTGAGTTTATCATGTATTCCTAAAGCTGGAAGTCTCTATAAATAGGCTCTCCTTTAGTAATGAAAGGCAGATTGCATTATTCCTAAAAACTCCTGTGCAAGATTGCATGAATTGATATCAGAGGACCCAAAATTCTGGGCATTCATTGGCGGGAAAGAAACCAGCAATCATGTGCGATTCTTACTTTGCCAACAAAGAAAGGATCAGCTTTCCGTTCTCTCACCACGATCAACGACCATACGCTTGCAGTTGGTCGAAGGAAACATTAAAGTCATCCAAAAGGATGTGGGTGAGATTAAACAAATCCTGAAAATTATACATGGGCGGTTGGAAACCTTGAATCTGCAACAAAACCCAACAAGAATGGCTCAACAAAATCCAGCAAGATTGGAGCAAGAAGCATGGGTGGATGATCGAAAAGGCAGCTACATTCAAGATAGGCAAATGGCTCCACCAAGAAGGGTCCAAGAAACCAATCTAGGTCCAAGAGTTCATCAAGAACAGCATCATGCCCACCAAGAATTCAACCAGAATGCTTTATCCCAATGGCGGCATGAGATTTTTATGGATTCTTCAAGTGATGCGGATGAACTACCCGAATGGGAAGAAGACAGAAGACGATTTCGTTATGATCATCGACAATACCGAGATGCTAGTGATTACAAAATGAAGATCGGCTTGCCTAGCTTCAATGGCAAAATGGAAGTAGAAAGGTTTCTTGATTGGGTGGAGAACATAGAAAACTTCTTTGACTACATGAGTACTCCCGAGAACAAGACAGTAAAACTTGTAGCTCTCAAATTAAAAGGGGGAGCATCTGTTTGGTGGGATAAATTAGAGACAAACCGAAGGAGATTTGGAAAGAGACCAATCCGCACCTGGGAAAAGATAAAAAAACTCATGCGAGAGATTCTTACCCATCAATGATGAACAGACCCTTTACAACTAATATCAAAATTGCAAACAAGTACTCGATCTATCATGGATTATATGGAAAAGTTTCATCGATTTGGTGCAAGAACAAATCTGGGAGAGAACGGACATTACAAAGTTGCAAGATACATTGGGGGATTGCATTTAGACATTAAGGAAAAACTACAACTCCAACCAATTGGGTATCTTAATGAGGTCATTGCTACAGCAACCACCACTGTTGAAGAACAACAGAAATAAATTTGAACAACAATATAGCCGACAAACTACTTGGGATGGCCAAAGTGGCAGTAGCTGTAAAAGAAGTACCTCTTTTGACAAGAATAATCCAGCTTCTGTCCAATCCGTTTTGAACAAAAGAAAACAAATAGATACTGAACCTCCTGCAGATACTAAACATGGGGGAGTTCCAGCAACAAAAAGACCCACTAGTACCTACGATCGACCAAATTTAGGTAAGTGTTTCATATGTGGACAGATTGGGCATTTGTCACATGAGTGCCCTCAAAGAAGAGCAGTAGCTATCCTAGACGAAACTGAAGAAATTGATCAAGAGCATCAAGATTCTGAAAATGAGATCACTTATTTAGAACCGGAAGAGAGCAAGCAAGTTTCTTATGCTCTTGAAAGGCTTCTCCTTACACCAAAAACAGAATCTTCTCCACAAAGACATTCTTTATTCAAGACAAGGTGCACCATTAATGGAAAAATATGTAACATGATTATCGATATTGGAAGCACCGAAAACATTGTGTCTAGCAAACTGGTAACAGCCCTCAACCTCCAACTCATCCCTCATCCTGCAGCTTACACGGTTAGTTGGATCAAGAAAGGAGCTGAAGCTCAAGTATCAAACATTTGTACAATCCCTTTGTCATTTGGGAATAACTATAAGGATCAAATCATTTGTGATATTTTGGAGATGGATGTTTGGCATGTCCTTTTTGGGAAAAATTCAAACTCATTCGGGCAATTCAATTGCTAGTTATTCCAAGAAAATTTTGAGAAGTATTGGAATGAAGAAGAAAGTGGGTAGTTTTGAGAAGGATCCCGTGAAAAAGAATGTTGATAATTTGGAAGACTTTTGTCTCAACAAACTACTGCATCAAAATTTATTGGGATTTAATTCAGTTTGGTCACTTTATCGTTGTTTTGATGAGTTAAAAAAGGCATTTTCGGTTGGAGTATTTTTGAACCACAAAAAGAAGCGAGTTTCTATTTCGAGGATTGTTCACCGCCATCTAACTTCACTGCTTTTAAACTCGAGGATGAGTTTTATCTTTTGGGTCAGGGAAATTGATGTAGTCGGCTTAGTTGTGGTTTATTCTTTTAAAGGATTAGCTATTTATATCTTCAGCTTGTTTAAAGTTTAGTAGTTACTGCACAGTAACTTGAGTTTATCTTGTATTCCTAAAGCTAGAAGTCTCTATAAATAGGCTCTCCTTTAGTAAGGCAGATTGCATTATTCTTAAAAACTCTTGTGCAAGATTGCATCAAAACCTTTCTCCCTTAATTTTAAATTTGAAGTATTTTTTACTTTTCTTAATTATTCAAGTTAATTTTTATATGAATATTATTTAATTTCTTAATATTTTCACATTTTAATAAATGAGTGTTTATTTCTTTTACCTATAAATTTTATAAAAATTGAGTATTTATCATTATGTATATGTACATATATATATTTATGTATTTTTTTAAATATAGTGTGCCTCGTAAAAAAAAGCGCGGGTTTTTTTTTTGTGCCTCGCGCTTAAGCCCCAAAAGGCTATTGCGCATGCTCCTCAAGCTTTTAAAAAACACTGATTGACACATGGTTTACCCCTTTTTACCCCCTTAGTACCTTTCCATTTTACATGTCTTGTGTCTTGCCTCTTCTACAGAAAAAGCTTTGGGGACTTTTTGGTGTCTTTTAGAGCATTCCATGTGATTAGGGATGTTAAATAATGAATGGAATATATGTTCTCTCGTTGTTTGCATTTTCTTGTATCGGGTTTCATCCCATGTTAAATATTACATAGTTTACATTGTTGTTATGCTGATTTGGGTTTGATTTGTATTTTCATGGAGGTTCCCACTATGGCTATTGAAAAAGTTCTTGTTGCTAACAATACATCATTAATCCAAGATGAAGTGCTTGCCCATAGGTTAGGCCTCATTCCGATTCATGTTGATCCAAGGCTTTTCGAGTACTCAGGTATTTCTGTGTATATCTATGTAAATTTAATGTGCTTATGCATGCTAATGCTGGATACTTCTATATGAATGTTGAGAAATCATTTCTATTTGGTTTACCTTTCATTATTCAAGGATACTTAACTAATAATTCCTGTTCAAAATTAGATAAAGACACACCAAATGAGAAGAATACCATTGTTTTTAGACTCCATGCTCGCTGTGAACGTGGAAAACCTCGTCTTACAGGTATTTGTCTTGTTTCCTTTGAAGTTCATGCTCTATTCAGAAATTTTCTTAATTATAAACTTATTTCAATATTTTTCTTGTTTCACTACTAATGATGAATGTATAATGGGTGATTCAGTGACATCAAAATTATTGACGTGGTTACCAAATGGTAGTGAATTTCCCTTGGTATCAGACAAATCAGTTCCAAACTCAAAACCCAAAACATATACTTCTTTTAGTTGCAGCCAAGACACACTACCAGAATTTTCCAACAATTCAATTGGTCCAAAGGACAATGATATTATAATTGCTAGACTTGGCCCGGGTCAGGTAACTGAACTCTAAACTTTATCTATTATCTGTGAAATATAGGGAAGAAGGGGTGTGCATGAGTAGATGACTGAAGCTGATGAGTTATGCTTAGAATAACAGGTCTTGAATTTAAAATTGTGACTCATGTGCTTGTAATTTTGTTCCCAAATAGGGAGGCATTTTGGGTTCATTCGTAAAATAAAGTCAGTATATATAAATATGAATTTGGCATATATAATCTATAACCGAAGTTGTATATCACTTCATGTATGTGGTGCTTGTGCTAGCAGGCCAATTATTTATACAGCTGTAGGTACCTTTACTTCCAATTGACATGCATTTGGTAGTTTGAATATTATATATTTCCTTGTACATATTAGTGAGAAGATGTACGAAAAGAGAAGATATCCCAACCAAGTCAAGGGGATTACAAAAAGGACTCCCTATCGGCAATGTTTTTTATTTTATTTTTTATAAGAAACTATTCTTTCATTGAGAAAAATGAAACGGATAACAAGAAGCACATACAAAAAAACAGTCCAAGAAGAGGACACCCACCAAAGAAAATGACTCCAATCCAAAAGAATGACACCCAATTGATAATTACAAAAGGCCTTAGAGACCGAACCCCACAAAGAAGTCTTAAACCTAACAAAATTCCAAACTGTATGCACCGTCTTTTCCACCCCCTAGAAATTCTATTGTTCCTCTCCAACCAAATGCCCCACAAAGTAGCCAAAAAGCCCGCTTGCCACAAGAACCAACCGCCATGGCAAAAAGGAAGGAATAGCAGCAACTCCTCCATCGTCGCCCTAACATCCCTATTAAGGGCAAAAGATACCCCAAAGCAACCAAAAAAACAAAGCCAGAGCTTCTGAGTAAACTGACAAGACCACAACAAATGCTCGAGGTCTTCCGAGACTCCTCTATAAAGCACACACCACTGCGGGCCCAAACACAAGTAAGAACTCCTTTGAATAGGATCCATGGTATTGACTTCCCCAAGTAAGACTTGCCATCCAAAAAACTTAATCTTCTTCGGAATTTTTATCTTCCAAAGAGGTAAACAAAGAGGCCGACGGGGGAGAATATGGGGAACTCAAAACATGGAAATAGGAATGGCAAGAGAAACCCCTAGAAGGGCTGGGGGACCACACATGCACTTCCTCCCCCCCAAGACGGAAAGAAACCTCCGACAACAAGCCAAGCAAAGCGGAAAACCTCTAAAGACTCACGATCAGTCAAAGAACAACGAAATCCCAAAGAGATGGAGGGCGCAACCCCCTCCCCCAACGGATCCATGATAGCGGCCACTGAATGCATCTTTTTATCAGAAAGATGGTAGTGCCAAGGGAACAAAAGACTAAAAGGTTTATCTCCCATCCAAGTATCCTCCCAGAAGTAGGCATTACGACCCTCCCCTAAAGAAGAGCGAAGGAATTGAGAGAAGGAAGGAAAACACGAAGCAATAGCCTTCTAGGGATTGTTATTGCTCACCTTAGCACCACCTACCGAGACCCACTCAAAAGGATGCGACCATACTTGCTCACAATAATCCTTCGCCACAAGGCACTAGGTTCGTGGAAAAAAATGCCACAACCATTTAGCCAAGAGCACCTCATTCCTGAGGCTCAAATTTTCGGTCCCCAAACCCCCCACTTCCAAAGGCTTCGCAACGATTTTCCAACTAACAAGATGAGAACCACTTCCCTCCTCCACCCCTTCCCAAAGAAAATCCCTCGTAATCTTTTCTAAGCTGTCACTGACCGCCACTAGAATCTTGAAAAGGGATAAAAAATAGGTTGGGATTCCCCTAAGAACGGACTGAATCAGCGTAAGTCTCCCACCTTTAGAAAAGAAGGCCTTCTTTCCACGAGGAAAGGCGCTTTTGAAACTTTTCAAGCACCAGCGCCCAGAAATTCGCACTCTTAGGATTATAACCCAAGAGGATGGCAAGCCACCAACTTCACCACCCCCCCGAGTCGCCCAGGCACTCAGCTTACCAGGTTCACTGTTAACACCAAAGATCAAGCTTTTGCCTCTATTAATCTTAAGGCCCGAAACGGATTCAAAAAATCCCAGAAGACAGTTTAGGTTTGAAAACGAGCTTTCCTTACCTGAACAAAAGAAAATGGTATCATCTGCGAACTGAAGATGAGAGAGGCCGACCTTCTCCCGACCCACTTCAAAGGCTTGCAAAGCACTTTTCTCCACCCCAACAAAAACTAACTTAATGAGAACATCCACTACTATAATAAATAAGAACGGGGACAAAGGATCTCCTTGTCTGAGGCCTCTAGAGACAAAAATTTTACCCCTAGGCCTCCCATTAACGAGGATAGAGAAGTTAACTGGTTTGATACAGCTCCAAATCCAAGATTTCCACTTACAACCAAAACCTTTCTTCCACAGAACTTTGTCTAGGAAGTCCCAATCAACATGATCATTCGCCTTTTCAAAATCGATCTTAAAAACCATCTCCTCCTTTTTCCGCTTTCTATAATCCTCAATAGCCTCATTTGCAATCAACACTTGGTCCAAAATTTGCCTCCTAGCAATAAAATACCCTTGGGACTCCGAAATGGTAGAGGGTAAGACCTTTCTATGCCTTGCTAGGCTTTTAGCAATAATTTTATTAAGGCTCGTCACTCGTGACAGGACTAATAGGTCTGAATTCTTTCACTCTGTTAGCATTCTCTTTCTTCGGGATAAGACACACATACATCTCATTCATGTACGCATCAAACCATCATTACAGAAGTTAGAGGGTAAAGATTACCAAATAGACGATAACAATCTAATTTGATCCTGAAATTCATTAAGAGCAGAGTCACTTGCCTGAAATTCAGAAGTTAGAGGGTAAACGTGGCTTTCTATTCACACCGAAGTCTCCACCAAAGCACCACCATCGAATTATACCACAAGATTTCTTTGTACTTAATGAAATTCTAAGTTTCTTATTTAAAAGAATATTATTTAAGTTTAAAGTACCCTCAAAGGAAAGGGTTATTTGTAATGCTACAATATTGGGTATGTTTCAGTGCCTAATGGGCTATTGTTGCTCAGTAGTTAGCATGTGTAAATTTCTTAACTTTTGCTTCAAATATTTGTAGGAAATTGAACTTGAAGCTCATGCTGTTAAAGGTATGGGTAAAACACACGCTAAGTGGTCCCCGGTGGCCACTGCTTGGTACAAGATGCTTCCTGAGGTGAGGAAACATGTCAGTGATTACTCAAAGATCCATAGATATGTTGAAGCCTAATGAAACTTGTGATTATTAGGTTGTACTTTCGGAGGAGATAGAGGATGAGTTGGCTGAAGAACTCAAAAAGAAATGTCCTGTTGATGTATTTGACATTGAAGACATTGCTAATGGTTAGTTGGCTTCTTACATTTGCTATTAATTATCTTTATACTTGGAACATTATGGTGGTAAAGTTTCAGAGATGGGAAGGATTCCTTAAGAGTAAAGTTTTTGTCATGTATAGAACTAATTTTCCTAATTTAGGGAGTCTTGTTTATATTCTTGATGGTTTTAGTTTTAGCCTTGTAATTTCTCAAATATCAATAGAAAGCCATGTTTCAATTTATTATTATTATTATTTATTTTAAGTATGCATTAATTATCTAAAGGAGAGAATAGAAAAAAGGTGTTTCAATGTTATGTTAAAGAAAAAAAGTAAGGTTTTTTGTCCTTTCCCCCATATGCTATATCCCGTGCAGTTCTGATGAATATGAGGAATTGTTGGGTTGTTTTTTATTATGAAAAGATGGATTCTGAGTGGTTGCATGATGTTGGCCTCTTTTTGCAGAATTCAAATTGAATCCATTTTTCTATGTACTTCATTATTTACCATGTCTATTTTGTAGGTAAGAAAAGGGCAATTGTAGCACGCCCCAGATCTTGCACACTGTGTAGAGAATGCATAAGAGGAGAAGCATGGGAGAAACGTGTCTCATTGCGTCGTGTGAAGGATCATTTCATTTGTAAGTGAAGGTTTTTTTGTGCATAACTTAGAGGGTAGAGCTAGAAAGGATAAATCTTGATGTTGATGATCGGCACATCTTTGTTCAGTTTGGCAGTGCCTTGATAAATGTTGACATGACATCCTAACAAATAGTAGTTTTCCTCCTCCCATGTTGATATTTCGAAATTTCAGCAAGCATTAGCTTCTTTTACTATTTTGGATTTTTTTTTATTAACAAAAAAACAAACTTTCCATGAATTAGTTAGAAGTTGTGAAGTAGTAGGTCTAAAAGACCAAGTATTACAAATAATAACAAATTCCCTGTGGAGTTACAAAAGCTCAGCCCTGTTTTTGTTAATTAAAAAGGGAGTCGGTTACATCAACATGAGCAAAGCTCAGTGGTAATTGGCATATGTATCTAACCAAGAGGTCATGAGTTCAAACCTGTAGAGACTAAGGTTGTAGAGAATCCAATGTGATGTATTCTCATTATTAAAGTCTATATATATAGACAAATATACAAGGTTGACCTAATCCTATAAGGAGAAGGTAAAGGACAAATTAATATTAATACAAGAATATAAAATATACTAATATCTATACTCTAACAAAACCTTCTACCCCATTTGTTGTAGGGAGTCACTTACTAAACTCTCGATCTATAGAAATCCAAAAAGTAACTTTATAGCATTAGCCCAAGGTTTCTTGGCTTTATTCTTGAAAATGTGGCCAAACAGCAATTAAACCAAGTCTCCATCCAAAGAGTAGTGAAAGACTTGAGACAATGGGAAATTTGTATGATGGAGCACCAAATCCTCTTGCTAAAGAAACACAAGGAAGAAGAGATGAACCCACAGAGGGATTCATGTCCATTGTGGGGCATCTATTTTGCAAATTTTCTATTATATTGAGAATCATCATGAAGTCTCTGGAGGTGTAAGTTGTTTGGTTTGGGTTGGTTTCTAGCAAAAACTAACATATCAGTTTTAAAATAAGCTACATACATCTGATGTTCAAACCGAACTGATCTGACTGGAAAACCAACCAAACTAATCAAAACCAAACGAACTGACCAAGAAGTATAGTCCAAACTGACCAAACCGAGACATTTAGGCAAAAGGATACAGGTCTGATTTCTTAACTAATCCTCCAACCCACCGGTTCCACCCCACAAGGATATTTGAAGATTCAATGACTAGGAGAAGAAAGGATTGATAATCTTTCTCCTCTTAGAAAGTTCCAGAAGGATCTAGCAGCCAACATAAAGAGTCAGAACCCTGTGGAGGATGCAAATCTTGGAGCAAAACAGAGAGATTTGCCCATTCTTCCACCTCTGTCCACCAAACCTCTTCTCAACTGCCAAGCTTGCTTTGTCTCAGACCAGCCACTGTTGGCAGAAAAGGACTTGGAATTTGTTACAGTGTAAATGGAGGGGAAACAGGAATTTTGAGTGAGCAAGGAGAGATTCATTTATGAGTTTAAAAGTAGTGTTCTCAATAAGAAATCCGATTTTTCAAATATCTTTCCATGGGCTATAAGTAGCTTTTTCCTATCGGGGAGCCAAGCATTAGCAGTCTGCCCAAACGTGCTTTTGATGATAGTTTTCCACAGAGCCTTATCCTCTTAGAATATCACCACAACCATTTTGCTAGGGCTTTGTTTCTTCTAAATCTCCAATACAAAAGGTCTCCTGAGATTAAAGGGGCTGTCATTTTATTGGTGACTTCCAACTTCATTATTGGCACCTTTACGAAGGAAGTCTCGAATGATTATATCTAACAAGATTCAGACGGAATCTTAAGGATGCAGAAATCACTGAATTAGCGTTGCTCCTTCACAGCCTTTCTTCCTCTCACCCAAACCAAGACAGTGACAGAATCTTTTGGAGGCTGGAACCGTCAGGATCATTCACTACCACATCTCTCATCCATGATTTGCCCTACCACACTACGTCACCAATGAAGCTTCCCTCTACAAATCGATCTGGAAAGAACACTACCTAAAGAAGATCAAATTCTTCCCCTGGGAGGCCAGTTTGTCTGCCTTAAACACCCATGAAAAGCTCCAAAGGAGGCAGCCATCGACTTGCCTTTCTCCACATTGGTGTGTTTCTGCCGTCAACATGGTGAAACACAGGGCACGTTTTTGTTACTTGCAGATTCGCATCCTCACTATGGGACACCCTCCTATCATCTTTTGGTTGGTCAATAGCCTTACCCTCAGATTTACACCCCCTATTATCATCTACACTAACAGGTCACCCTTTTGGAAAGGAGGCAAAAATCCTTTGGATGCATTTTATTCGGGCTATGCTTTGGTCGATATTGTTGGAAAGAAATCATAGGCTCTTTCAACGCAAAGAACGATCCAGTAGCAACATTTTTTATTCTATAGTGTATTTGGTTCTATCTTGGTGCAAATGTGCTCCTACCTTTCAACACTATAGTTTTGTCTCTCTATTAACCAATTGGAAAGCCTTTTTGTAGCTCCAATGGTTTTGGACTCTCATCCCCTTTTGTATATCTATCATTTCATTAATCATTACATTAATGAAATTGTATCTTTTCCTAAAAAACAAGATTCATGAAGTTTCTTCCACCTGTTCATTCTGCCATGACTCTCACCAATAAAGATCCTAGATTTTCCGCTCCTCAAGTTAATTAGGCTAATTTCAATCACCCTTTCCCTTCTGTTAAAAGATTTCTCATCCATAAGGCATAATAATCCCTTCCTGATTGTTTGAAGGACTTATTCCTAGAGCCTTTCACATGGCATTGCAAAACTCCTCAATCCAACAAGCTGAAAATTATTTGGATAAGAAGAATTATCCATCCTCACTCTCACATAACCTATAGCATCCCCTGCCGGTAAAGAATAATTGCCATCCTTTTTGTTTCTTTTATAAGAAACGAATATATCAACACAAGAACAAAAAACAACCTAAGGGCAAGGAATGTTAAGACCTCGTCCCAGAAAACTAGAACATTAAGGCCTTTCCATCTTGAAGGATCAAAGATAAGCTGTATTTACAAGAAAGTTTCTTGTGTTTAAGGCACCATAAATAAGTAGTAAGTTGTACATTTCTGAAAGAATCAAAGTGGAAGAAACTCCTTGAAAAACCCTGTTGTTTCTTTCCTTCCAAATGTTCCAAATGAAGGCCCTTTGAAGCCCACTTCCATAATACTTCAATCCCTCTTATCTTTGATTGAAGTAGGTAAGCAGCCGGGGATATCAAACAAATTAAGCAAAAAACCCTGCCTCTGGCCGTGAACTCAGTGTGAATGAAGATGTGGTCTAGGCTTTCTTCACCTCGTTGACAAAGACTACAAATTGAAGAGCCACAAAATTTCTTTTTCAATCTTTTCTTGTAAGCAAGGCTCCACAGAAAGACTTCTATCTTTTCTTTGGACTTCTAGTGCTTTTTGACTTCTTTCAAAAACACTTATAAATCACTTCCAAACGTGGAGAGTTTAAGTGGGAAATGTTTTTGTCATGGAATAAGTTCTTTTAGCCATGCCAATTGTCAAACATACTCTCAAACAAACATTGCCTAGTTATCTTTGTTAAAAGAACACATTTGACATGGTTTCAAGAAACTCATTTTTCATTGCTTGTTTTGTTTTATATTTTTCATTCCTTTTCCTCTATGCAGTTAAGATTGAATCAACAGGAGCTTTACCTCCTGAGGTGCTGTTCACTGAAGCTGTAAAGATTTTGGAAGATAAGTGTGAACGTTTAATTGCTGAGCTCTCTTGATTCTTACCATGGATAACCAAAAGAGATCAACATGTACATTATTCCATTATATTCAGAAGTCACCAATTTTTGCAGTATACGAGATCTCTTGTTCTATTTTTCCTTTGAAAAGACACTGGAATAGTAAGTTTTGTTGAGCTCTCTTGATTCCTCCTAAATTTTATGAATGTCGGCTGGGAAGTGGTCAAATAAGAGAACAGACAAAGATTATGTTATTGTTTCAATGGAAATTTGATAATTTATTGTCTTGGACATGAAAAGAAAACAATCTCAATTTATTTAGAAAAAAATTTACTTAACTTCTGAATGAATGTCCAAAGATGTTATTGTGGAATGGTTTATACATATGTTTACTGCAGAGGGATTCAAATATCTAACATATTTGGATGTGAGAGCCCACATGTTTGGGTTGTACTTTTTTGCAGGATTTATTTATTTGCAAGAAGCTTGTAGTAATGATTGGGTAAAAGTTTTTATATTTAGGGGTAGACATGTATTTTCACCTTTAAAATTTCTTGGAAGTCTCTAAATTAAAAAGTAGCTATGTAAGACTTAAACATTATCTTTTTGCAATTACTCAAATAAAATCCTTTCACTTCTATTTTTTATTTTAAATTAAACTCTTTCATACTCCATATACTAAAATACTGCAAGAATATTATATATATATAGACACACACATACATATATATATTTGAAATTACCCAAATAAAATCCTTTTTTTTTAATTAAACTCTTTCACATACTAAAAAAAATTATCTTTAAATTAAACACTCCCACCCACATATAAATAATTTTTTTATATATATATTAAGGTCCTTATTTCATTCAATCAAATAGTGGGATCCACCTCAAATTTTGTAATCTCATTCTCTAAACAATACCATCAATCTCGTTTCTTATTTCGTAGGTCCTACATATTTATTATAATTACTTTACAAGTTTTACCTTTTCTCTCTCGTCTATTAATTAGATTCATACAATTTTTAATTAATTTTTTTACTTCAACATTTATACTTCAATTTTTATTAGTTGATGTTATTTTATTATATAATATTATAAATTTATATTAATTAACATCAATCGATATTACTTGATGTAACTTTATTTCAACTATTCATTATTTATTAATATTAAAAAATATTTATAATAAAAAATATTTACTATCAATAATATAATAATAAATTAAATTAAGATTTATTATTATTGTAATTAAAAAAAAGATGAGCATAAATGTATTTGTAATTTGCTAAAAGTGAGAAACTAGAAAGGAGAAAGGGGAGACCGGGTATACATCTAATTTCAATTCCGACAGTTTTAGTAAACAACGAATTCTAGTTACGATTTCAAAAAATTTATGGTAAACAACAGCAACAAATAACATTTTCATTCCGATTGATTTCATTTCGATTCATTCTCATTATGATTGCGGGTAAGTAAACGGGACTAAACTCCTTCATATTCTCACACCATACTTGATTAATTATAAAATTTATTATTTTACTTTTAATTATAACTAATAAGAAATTCGAAAAGCTTTGAAATTTTAATAGTTAAATAATTTTTAAAAATAATATGGTACAAACAAATGATAAAAGTATAAAAAGTTAGAACAGCAAAAACTTATTATGAAAATAAAAATTTGTGAATTTATTGCAAAAGATAATTCCAAAATTGATTACTATACTTTTAATTATAGTTAATAACGGAATTTAAAAAAAAAGAATATTAAGAGCTAAATAATTTTTAAAGCAAAAGTATAAAAAATATTGAAATTAATAATTTAAATAAATTCATAAAAGTGAAAAATGACAAAAGTTAGAATATGTAATTTGAATAATAAAAATATATGCATTTTAATGTATTTCAAAATTTGAATCATTAATAATTATATAATTAAACAATAATAAAAGATAGCATATGAACCTAATTTTTTCTCTTTTATTTGAGTATAACACGTGGGATGAGAATTCGAACTCACAATAGTTTGATCAGAGATATATACCTTAACAAATTGAGCTATGCTTAAGGTGACAATCAAAATAAATTTGAATGTAGTTAATGAGATATAATATATACCTTAACTAGATGAGTTACACACAAGTTTGCTATGTTATTATTTTATTATTATAAATAATGTAATAATTTTTAGTAGCCAATTCGAACCTAGTTCAATGGATTAAATCATTTATCTTTGACTAAGAAGTTCAAGGTAGAATCCTACTCAAATGTTGTTGAAATAAAAATATTATTTAGTAGATACTTTTATGTTTTTTTTTTTGGTTGCTGATGTCGATATTGAATAATGATTCTTTTAAATTAATGATTAATAATTAAATTACGATTAAAAAAACATTTTTGGTCCTCCTCAATTTTAGTGGGTAATGATTTAGTCCATCTACTTTCAAATGAGTTACAATTTAGTCTCTAAACTTTAGCATGTAATTAAGTCTATATAGTTTCAAATGATAACAATTTAATCCTATCATGAAATATTAAGTTTTTTATATACATAGATCAATAAATCGAGGGATTAATTATGTTTATAAATTAAAAATATTAAATTGTTATATAATAAAAATTGACATTTAATTTTAATAAAATTTTTCATGAAATTAAATTGTTACACATTGTATTATAAATTAAATTAAGGCTAAATAGAATTTCTTTTTTTGGAAGAAAATAGTAAACGTGTTTTTTAACTTAAAATCAAAATTAAAATGTGACTTAAAAAATGATGCCGCTGGGGTCTCTCCCGCTCGTGCCGCCACCGCCGCACGAACAAAACCCTCTCTCTCAGATTTCTTAATCGTCGGTCGTTTTTCGTTTCTCCGCCGCATCTGTTCTGACTTCTGAGGTATTATTTTCTAATTTTCTTTTCATTTCAATTCTTCATTCCAATATCCAAGGTGGGTTTCTTCTCGCACCCTCTTTTCGTTCACTTTTGTTCCCTGAAATCGTAGCTACTGTTCTGCACTTCGATTTTGCATCTGTAAACTGAAATGCTTTCGATTCTTTTTCTTTCGAGTTCGACGGTTGTGATTTCAATAACGCTACATTCTGTTTTATGAAGAAACCCCAAACAAAGGCCTAGTATACCGCGGCTTAAACCAGAGTGGTCATGGCTATGAGATCCGCGGCGTCGGTGGCTCTTCGGGGCCTGAGGAGGTTCTCGTCGAAAACTTCTATTTCAGGTTCTACTCGGGCTTCGATCAATCAAGAGCCCAGCTCCGACCTCTTGGTTTCTGGCAAGTTCCTCCTCTTATTTTTCTCTTTTGATTTACTTACCTTTTTTCATCCTCTGATTTGTGCTCTGGAATGTTTGTCTCCTGTGTTCGGCTATTTGTGAAACGTCTAGGATTTTTTTTTCTCCATTTTTAAAAATTATTTTGAACCCACAAAGCAAAATCCCATTGTTTGTTTTGTTCTAAGTATTGAATTAATGGTGCCGCCCTAAATGTTACTATGTTTACATACTCTTTTTCATCCAAACGGGTAGGATATTCTTTGTGCATTTATAATTTTTATCTTCTGAGCAATCTGTCGATTGATAATTTGGTTCCTCTCAACTGACGGTGTCATCTTGAAAGTATGGATGTATCCTCGAGTTAAACATTGGGGTTTGAACTCTTTTCACTAGTTGTTTGGATCCAGTTATTTTTTCCATCGGGAGAAAATGGGTAACCTTTTCATGTTTTACTAGGAAATGGTTTTTAGAATGTTCCATGTGTGATCTTTGCGCTTGGGGCAATGACGCAGCTAGTGAGGTTCTAACCAAGGAGCGTCAATTGCTGGTTGAAAACTATTTTCAAAGAATGTTCCATGTGTGGACTGTAATGAAAAGAACATAGATGATTTTTGTTGTTTTTTGTGGCTCCATTCCTTAGGCTGATCTCTGTTTTTGTATTGTTTTTTGTACAACGTGAATTTCTTAGAAAATAACAATAACGATAATTTTAAACATAGATGACAATAAATATAAAATGATTTATGCTTAATGTAATGTTGATATAGGAGCAAACTATATACAAATTGATACAATTTCTTTAGATAACATGGCTTTGAATTCTTATAACGATTTGCAAAGTAAAGTGTGCCCAGGCATGCATCACCCTCAAGCATGAGAGAGGTGCTTCACCTCTTTGTATGAGGTGCACACCACCTCTTTTCTGCAAAATATTTCTTTCTTCCAAGATTGTCAACTTAATGAAAACATTTTTTAACAGATTTCTTTGCCTAACGTCATTTGAACATAAAGTAGTATTTTATTCCTTCTCATTAATCAATAAAATATCAACCATCATGGGATGGCTCAAGTGGTCAATGAGGGCCTTTGTAAATAGTAAAGGACTTAGAGGGAATGAGTTCAAACCATGGTGGCCACCTACCTAGGATTTAATATCCTACGAGTTACTTTGTCAATCAAATGTAGTAGGGTCAAGCGGTTGACCCGTGATTAGTCGAGGTGCGTGCAAGCTGGCCCGGACACACGGATTCCAAAAAAAAAAAAAAATTAATCAATAAAATATCTGCTCTAAGCTCCACCTCTTGTTGCTTTCTCATCTTTTCTTGATTAATAGTTCATAATCTCAGATGACTCTTCAAATTTTTAAGTTTGGATAATAAAACAAATCCAGCCCAACCATTTGATACATCATTGGATAGTTTCTCTTCAATAAACTTTACACATTCAGGAACTTGAAGCCAAGAATTGTAGAAACGAAAAGGTGTGGGTCCCCATTCAAAGCTTCTGGACGTTAGAAGAATTGTAAAGTTATCCGACACTAGTCTTTCCAATTTGGAAACTCTCAAATTATCAATTAGCAAATCCCCAATCCTTTGAGACAAAAAGACAATCAAGTGGAGTTTGGGTAGGACTCTCTCCCATAGTCGACCAAGTAAATTTTCCATTTGGCAAAGAAATTTCAGTTAAGTTCAGTTCCTCAATGATAGAACTAAATTTCTTCATACCTCTTGTTCTTCAACCACCTGAGGATCTTCCATAGGACCAACAGATCTCATTGAAGTCGCCACCTAAACACCAAGGTTTATCACATTATGCATGAAAAGATTGGATTTCTTTCCACACATGTTTCCTTTATAATCAGGACCATAAATATTTGACAGCCAAATTTCCATTTCATTTGATGGAGAGATCAATACTGACAAAGAGTAACCACCTCTTAGAAGTAGAACATCTTTAACACTAACTTTTTTCTCATGTCATAACTCATAAGATTATCATTCCATCTGATCGTCCTAAGGAGTCCACCTCAGCCCAACCAATGTATTTTTGAATTCCAAAGGGATTTAATCAATCTACTTGCTGAAGCTTGGATTCTTGAACCAGAAAGCTTCTTGAATCAGCATGAAATCTGGACAAATTTGACTTTAGAGATTTTTTATAGTAAGTCTTTTACTAGGACCCCGGGCCTCTTATATTCCATTAAATGACTTTCATGTAATACTTAGAGTCTTTAGTGATCAGGAAAGCTCCTTGGAGGAGGTTTGGGCCTTGACTTGGTTCAATGCCCCCCTCCCTTTGGGCTTCCATTACCAATGACTTTAGCGATTACCCTCTATATCTTATTCTATTGAATTAGAACCCCTTTCTATAATTCTTTAGTTATACTTCTTTTAGCTGCTTTTTTAGCTTCTTTTGGTCTGAGCTTTACTTTTTTGTACTACCCTCATGTATTCTTTCATTTGTTTTCAATGAAAGTTGTTTCGTTTGTTAAAAAATAATTATAATAATTGGACCACCGTTAATCTTGGATGGTAGGAAGTCTGTTTCTTCATTCAACTATTCCATATTTTCTGCATAGGTTGCTTTTAGATCAAAATTTTAATGAAATTTAACTCAAGGACTCGTCGATTACATCTCTGAATGTAAGAACTAAATCATATTTGTTTAGTTTCTTGTAGCTGTGCAGTTTGGTATTTTTTATTTTTTGTTTTTCTGTTCTTGGTTCCTTCTATTACAGGCTTTTCTTTCTTTTTTTGTATTGCTTGAGTGTATTCTTTTAGGAACCTTTCATATCCTAAAGCTGATTTTTTTTTTTCATTTAAAAGAAGAACTAAATCATTTTTTATGCATAGGTCACTTCTCTGGAAGTACAAGAATTAAAGAATCTGCCTAAGTGCATGAATTAAAGTATAGATGTACATATCGTTTAGAACTGAAACACTTTTCGATGAACAAAATACGATGATAAAAATTGAAAGAAACGTTTCCTTAAGGGAGAACAATAAAGAAAATAGCCACGCCACGATCAACAAATAGATGGTCCAAACCTATATGAAGCATATATTGTTCTGAATTATTTTTACATAAAAGTGTCAGAGCATCTTAGTAGTTCTCTGTTTGGTGTAACAATAAAAAAGGTTTCAGGTTACAATTCTTTCTCTTTGGCTATTATTTCACAAATAAGATTGCAGCATCTGGTCTTCTCTGGCTCTCCTCTATTTATTTTGTAACTGAGAAATGATTATTTAATTTAATTCTTCTTGTTAGGTACAACATGATCAGAAGAACGAAAGAAACATAAAAGATGATAGATTACTAAATTATGTTTTTTAAACCGTGTAGTAAAGTAACACGAGGGGAGTAAAATTTAGAGTTTGTTTGATCTTTGGTATTGTTCTCCTTTTCTGTTTCTTTGTTTTTTATTTCATAAAAAAGGTGTTTAATATTGGTTTCTTATTTCTTTTTATATCTTTTTATTGAAAAATGAAATATCTTAGTTTGGTAACTCTTTTTGGTTTCTTATTTTCTAAAATTTTTAATTAAAAAAATGAAAGTTGTTCTTGAAAAATATTTTTTAATAAATAAAACATTAAAAGTTCTTGTTCCATTTTTTTTTAGATTTATTGTGTGTTTTATTAGGATAATAAATTAATATTTTTATTTATGTTTTTACAAAGCTGGAAACAAACAGGTATGAAACCACATTTTTATTTCAAATTTTTAGAGTATTGGGATTTCTGTAAAGGGAGAAAATAGAAATGGAGGATAATTAAGGCATCTTTTTCAAAAACTAAAAACAAATAAGAAATGAATGCTTTTGTTTTTTAAATAAATAAATAAACAAGAAATAGGAAAGGAATGTATATGTTTTAAAAACAAGAAATAAGAAATAATCAAACAATCTCTTAAAAGCGCGTTTTTCCTCTAAAGAGAGGAAATGACAAATTCTGGTTCAGTTAGCCAAAATATGTTCTAATTGAATTTCCAAACCAATTTTGTAAAGGTTAGATGCTTAATTTAATTTGGATTTACCTTTGAAAAATGGATTTCCACTGAAGTTTTCCATTTTCCACTGAATTTAGTTTTCTTCAGTTGGAAAATGAAAAGTTCTGTCCAACTTTGCAGTTTGATTCTTTTTCTTATATGATTAACAAATATTCTGTGTCCATCAATTCATACCTAATTAATTGTTATGTCATACTATTTTCTATTGTATTAGAATTTTTCTACTTGTGTTATTATGTTGAGATTGTTTTTACATTCTTCGTCACAGATATAGCTGGGACATATGGTCGTACATTCCGTGAGAGGATGACCAATTACATGGCTACTCTCGACATCAATTCACAGATCGGAAGCTGCATGCCGCTTTCTGCAATGCGTATCGGTACAATGATCCACAACATCGAAATGAATCCGGGTCAAGGTGGGAAGCTGGTTCGAGCAGCAGGAACATGTGCAAAGATACTGAAAGAGCCAACATCAAGATACTGCTTGGTGAGGCTCCCTTCAGGTACTGAGAAGTTGATCGATTCTCGATGCAGGGCGACGATTGGTCAGGTGTCTAACCCAAGCCATGGAACTAAGAAACTGAGAAAGGCAGGGCAGAGCCGGTGGTTGGGTCGACGACCGGTGGTTCGGGGTGTGGCGATGAACCCGGTGGATCATCCTCATGGAGGAGGTGAGGGTAGGAGCAAGAGTAGTGGGAGCTTTGGCAAAGGGTCTCGCACACCTTGGGGGAAGCCTACCAAGTCAGGTTACAAGACTGGACCTCTCAAGCGCAAGAAATAGAACAAATTTCCATCTTTTTTCTAATCTCTTTTAAAGCTATTTTTCTTTAGGATAATCTGAAAATGCTCTCTTTTTGGCCTTTTTGATCGAGTTGAGTTACACTTTTACCCTCAAGGTCATATTTGCAGGAAATTCGTATAGAATTTTTCCACATTTCTGTGAAATGAAGTGTATGTAGTCTGTAGAACAACTGAGCCTTTGATTTTCCCCATGCTGAATGATTTTAGATTACGTGTGGTTTAAAATGTTGGAAAGAAATTTTATCATTCTTTTTAGTACAATAAGTGGGGGTGAGGAAATTCGAATTCATAATCTCTTGGTCAGAAACAGTTGTCAATTTTCGCTGAGCTAAGCTCAGGTTGGCTTAACCGAAGCAATTATAGTTACCATGAATGAATTGTCTTACTTCTTTGAGTGGTTGTTGGTGGTGTTCTTCTGTTCCTAGGATTAATTAAAAAAGCAAATTATGCATTAAACCTTAGTATGTTATTTCTTCCCTAATTAATACTAATAATCCACTTGTTGGCTTATATATTAACGTTCAAGTACACAAGTGAAGGATACTAAGAATAAAGAGGAGTTGCAAATCTAGTAAAATTCAGATAAAATATTAGAAAAATAGTACCTAAAAAAGAATTGCAATTATAGTAAAATGAAAATACAAGTAAATTGATGATTACCGTTAATCCAATCTTGTCAAATATATATATATATATATCAATTAGTAAAACATATAAAATAAAAAACATATAAGTCAATTAGTAAAACCATTAATTCCCAAATTCATCAATATATAAGTTAACTAAGGTTTTTATAATTATAATCAATCAATGTCTAGATTAATCATTGATTTAGGTTAATCAATTACCACCATATATTTTATAAAAAAAGAAAAAATTACCACCACACAAAATAAAAATATACCCGATATTTTTGTAATCAATTATGCAAGATTTTCCAAATGATTAATAATATAACATTGGTTAAAATATTTATTTTTGTCCCTCTATTATTTATGTTAATCAATCATCTATCAATTTAGAAAATGACTGTATTTTCAATTATTTAAAAATATATATATAATTATTAAAAAAAATAAGCTACCCTCTTAAATTTCCTAAGAATATATTAGAAAAATTAAACTTATGATTATGAAAATAGAATGTAAATACAATCACGTGATTAGTTACAAACGTCTTTCGACAGTGAATTGGTGAACCAAAAAACCAATTAATTGCAAATTCAGTTAGTTGGATAGAGAAATAATCAGCTTTTATTTTTACTGGTGAGTAAAAGCACGTGAAGTTTGCTATTATCTTGAGTAATTTTTTCATTAAAATACAAATCTCTCCATTCCTCTCATTTTATCTATTTTTCTAATACTATCTCTCCATCTTTAACAAATTTGTATTTTATCTATTTTTCTAATACTATCTCTCAATCTTTAATAAATTTTTTCTCCCAATTCCGACCCCTCTAATTTTTTTTTTCCTAATTTTCTCTCTCTCTCCTAACTACTATCTCTCGACCCTTACAAATTTCAAATAAATTTATAAAAAATGATAATTTGAGTAATGAATTTGAATGAGTGGAGAAAAGAAGAATCTAAGAGTAAATGAGGAAGAAAAATAATGAAAGGGTTAAGAGAGAGATAAATGAAGTTTTTGAGGAATAGAAAATGATTTGAGAAAAGTAGAAGATTTATAAAGGTGGAGATAAAATATTTGGAAATTAAGAAAGTGCGGAGGAAGTAGAGAGAATTAGTGAAATTTGAGAGGATTTGGAGAGAGTAAACGAGTGGAATGGGAAGTGAGAATTTGTGGAATTTAAAGAAAGAGAGAGGGTGAGAGATGAATGACAAAATTGTCATAGAAAAAATGATTAAAATTAAAGGATACAATGGAGAAAATTTTTTTTAGTCGAGTTCAACGAGGGATTAAACCTTGAACCTTGAACCTTAAACTACTTAAAAAAACACCGCCCGAAGTCTTCTAGAATATGAAATCCATTGGCCAATCGCTATGCTACAACAACTACGTATATGTGAATGGTTCGATTTTTTCTAAAGAATCTAAAGCTTTAAATGGATTTGTGAAATGGGAAGCGAATCAAGTTGAAGTTAAGTTGGTCATCAGTGACTATCAGAATCATATTCCCAACCTTTGTTTCCACGAACCTCCATAGCTTTCTGTGAGCAGAGGATTGATATATACATACAAGTAATTAATTGCACACACTACTCTACTTCCAAGCTTCAAAGATGCTCATATCAGAAGCAAAACAAGACCTTCACCCACCAGGTTCTCTCTCTCTCTCTCTCTCTCTCTCTCTTTTTTACCTCTCGAAATTTAACTCTCTCTAACCGTTCTCAACTGAAGGGTACCCGACCACCGATGCCGGGACAGGGAAGAGACGGTTCTGGGGCGCCACAAAGAAACGAGGAGACAGAGGCTTCATTGAAGGATGGTGTGTGTTTTTACTTGTTCTTTTTTCATTTGATCACTAGAGGAGAAACCAAATCTCACCTTCTAAACTTGTGAATTGGATGCAGCCTTTTTGCTTTGTGCTGCTGCTGGATTTGTGAGGCATGCTGCTGATTTCTCCTGGAAGATTGTCCTGTTTATCGTAATTAGTGTTACTATACATTACATCAATATGAACAACTGATTTACAAATTTATCTATAAGAGAGAGAGACAAAGAGACTTTTGCTTGTACTCAGCTTAAGAAAGTACATACAAGTTCAGATATGACTCTTAGCATATCTCCTTTTTCTTCGGTCCTTTAGAACAGTAAACAAGGAAAATATAATTTCAACTCGAAAAAGGTTACATAACTGATAACACAAGTCGTAATCGGAAAATTTTGATTCACCATTAAATATTTGAACTCACTTCTATAGCTTGTGAATTCTGTATTTGTGAACTCACCTTCTCACCATTAAACATAAGTACTTGCTCAAAAAGTACTTTCAAGGGTTCTTTAAATTTTTCATAAAATTTTTGAAAAGGGCTCATAGTTAGCCAAAAACATCCTTTTACTCTTTCGAAAATCGTGTCAGATGCAAGGATAAGTATGAACAAGACAAGGTAATTTCACTATGGGATATGTATAATCACAATTCACCAAACAGGGGTTTTAAATAAGAAACTCAACCATAGAGACCAGACTTGTACCGTATAACAGCAATAAACCTCCACATCTACAATCTCCAATAACCAGTTCAATGCAGTCCTGCACAGCATAAAGATGTTGAATAAGCTATCGACTACAACCATTCTGTAGAGCAGAATAGCCCACCTGGTAGAGAATTAAACATTTTAAACAGTCAGCAGAGGATTCGAGAGATTATCATCAAGCATCGGTAGCTTATCATAACATACCATTCATCTTACAAGCAACACTAGCCAACCTGAGCTAGGTCGACTGGTCCATCCCAACATGTTGTTGAACTAAAAAAACTTACAAGCAACACTAGAGAAGTTACTAATACAAGCTACACAACACACCAGAATGTACAAAGCTTTTATTGTTCAGCCATGGTTCATGCTATCGCTGATAAACCTTAACCTTGCCTAGGATCAAATACAATTTCTTTAGTCAAGCTAACTAGGTCATATACTGCCTCGACATCCATCTCTCCTCGTATCTCCCAAATGAGTAGGCAGAAGAAGGCACCTCCCCAACATTGAGGGAATCGGGTTCGATGCCGTAATCTGTCAATGGTCTGTGCTCAAGAACTTCATCGTGACTTTTCACAAAATCAGGAATCTCAACCTCTCCCTTCTTTATTTCTTCCGAAAGGTACTGAAGGCGGCTCACATACTTGACTTTCCAGTACAATCTACCAAAAGAGAATAAATCTTAGGACAATTCACACAAAATATAGGTTTTGAACATATGCAGTATGAGAGACAAAGGATACAGCAAAAAATTTCAAGGAAACTAACACCTGTAATCAGTCTATCATATCACCCAGTTCTAAATTCTGAATATGCTATTTTCTAGGTAGCTGTTTTTAGGAATGCATTTGAAAGAAATAAATTTCATAGAATTGTTACTTGTTTATTATTTTTTTCTGCAAATAGAATAAAATAATGTCCGAGAACTTTGGAATTAGTTTCAATTATACCTCTATCATTTAAGAAGTTTTACTTCTACCATAACCATTGACCTTTAAAATAGATTCAAATATGCCCTTGGGCTTGAACAACTTTTCTTTATAAAACAAGTGAAAAAAATTGATGTAATGGTTAGGTTGTAAACATAGCAGTGAGATATATGACTTTAAGATGAATGGTAAACATGGCAAATACTAAAAAGTACAAACCATTGAGCAATCACTTTTCAAGCCAAAAACACTCCTGCAACTAAATATGTTTTGATATAAAAAGATGAATTATCCAAAAACACTCCTGTAACCAAAATAGTTTTTCTGCACCATACAAATCAAGAAGTTAACACCAGAAGTGCTACCACTATAACTAAACCAGGCACGTGAGTGTAAGTGCTTTCATATTTATAGCCAAAAAAAGGTGTCATAGTACATCGAAAGAAAGAAAGTGTTTGTAAAAGCGTCAACTAAAAAGTATGACTGAATTCCGCTAAGAAAATAAGTACGAAGATATTAAGAAAGCAATAGTAAAAATCTCAATGTTTGTGGAATCCAAAAGAAGAAAAACCATTTCTAATTAATTTTCACTTATATGGTAACAAGAATCCTATTCATCATCCTAGATTGAAAACTATAGAAACAGCATTAACTGTAAATGTTAAAGTAGTAACATAAAAGACAAAAACTACAAATTAGATCTAACTTCAATTAAAGAAAAAACTGAAATCTAACAAATTCAACGTCATTACATTTGAAAACCATTATAATGAATAAACTCACCCGCCACTTAAGAAAAAACGACCAAGAGTCGCTAAGACGAGCCTTGAACGGAGCCCAGGGTGAACGAAGTAGAGAACTTTAAGTCTATCCTTGTAATCAGAGGGAAGTTCTTCATAAATCCATCTCAAGATGGTTAAGCCTGGACAATTATCATCCTTCTGGGTACTAGTGTGAAAGTAAACAACACAAAATGGACCCTCTGCCAATTCGTTGTGGAATTTGTGGAGGATATATTTCTTCAGCCGCTCTCCACTTACAACCACAGCTGTGCATAAAACGTCAAAAAGGAATTTCGTAGTTATATAATAATTTCCAAGCAGAAGTTTGTGCTAGAACATGATACCATCCATTTTCAGGTGCCATCAAGAGAAGAAGGAATTACACTTCAGCTCCAAAATTAAAGGGTTTACATTAGAAATAGCAATTCTTAAGAAAACAATCAAATAAAGAGAAATTCGCAATATAGCTCAATCAAGCTGAATTTTCAACTGTCCAGTGAAGCAAAAGGATGTAACGTATTCAAAAAACTAGTGATCGAAAACTTAACCATCCAATTGGAATCTCTTAAATCCCTTTTGTCTTCTAAAAACTAAACCCGAAACTGCAAAAGTCGACAACAGAAGAAAATCAGATAATGGGATCAGCTTGTTACCAGGGAAGTACTTTCCGATTACGCGGAAGATGCGATTCCCACTCTTGTCGGAGCCCTCGAGACGGACAAACTGCAGCAGATCGAGATCTGAGAAGTCTTCATCGGAGGAAAGGTTTTGGGAACAGTCGTGCCAATTCTCTGCATCTTCAGTTCTGTCCTTGTCTTTGTCAGACAAAAATGGCCGCGAATCGACACCGCCATCAGAAGGAAGAATGATGACTGAGAAATCATTCGGGGTGCTGCCCATCTCTGCTTCCTAGGGAATTGATCTTCTTCTCACGATTTCCCCTGCTTTTTCTTGCGCTTTTTAAGGAGGAATCGAGCTCGGAAGCAACAAATATCTCGCGTTCGTGCAATTATTAGTCAAAGTTACAGGATTGGATTGGACAAAGTCCAAATCGCCATGGTCGGAGCTTTGATTCGACGAGAATTTAAGCAGTGTTAGGGTTTACCGTATCAGAATTTACGCGATACAAACTCTTCATCGTAACGTCAAGATTCCGAAGAAGATAAGATCGAACTTTTTTTCTTTTCTAGTTCTTATTTAATTATTCAAAAGAAAATTTATGGTGGGATTTATTTTAATAATAAAATAAAATATCCTAATTCAAATGTGGGGTCAAAAAGGGTTATATTTGCATTTCTTTTTTAATTATAACAAATTTGTTAATTTCACCTAAATTGAATAAAAAAAGAATTAGAAAAAAAGTGACTATATTGTATCAAGTAATTTTAATTGAATGGTTGATTAGACTATTAATAAATCTATCTCCTAATTTTGCCCTTTAATTTAAAACTTTTTTCTCTCACTCACTTCCTTTCTTCATTCATTTTTTCAATTATTTTTCTTCAAACATTTTATACCCAATATAGTTTTCTTTTTTTATTTGTTGTTTTGTTTGAATCAAATAATTAAATACCAAACTTCAAAAAATTGAAATAACTAAAATATGAAATAAATTATAAATTATTATATTTGAATTTAAATTATGTTATTTTTGTAAATTTTAAAATACATATTTATTTTATACTATTTATGTGATTATCTATTTTTATTTGGTAAACTAAAATGATAAATTTCACTATAAATTACATGACAGATAGTTTTAGTTTTACCTTTAGTTCTATATTCTCCTCAAAAATATAAAATTACTTACCCTCAACTATCTTTTTGAAATTTGGGCCAAATTTAAAAAATAAAAAAAGAAAATTTGATTTGATTTTTAAAAGCCAATGTTAAAGTGAACTGATTTTTTTTCATTTTAACATCTAAAGTGAACTGATTGAGACCGACGTTTTGAAAAGTGAACCGACCCCATCGAAAATTGACTAAACTGACCAAACATACCAACCAAACCAAAAAGAATTGAATTGCTTAAACCCCACAAAATATATCTCAATCAAACTCGGTGACTATCTTTTTCAATTTTAATCTTTTACTTTGAATCAATTCGAAATACTATTTTAATCCCTTAAATTTATTAAGATTAGAAAATAATAAATTCTTTATTAATAAAGATAGAATCAATTATATTTTACTTGTACAAAGGGCATCATAAATGGATCCAACACAACAATAAATCTCTATGGTATAATTATGTTATTTTTTGTAAAAATGTAAATATGTTAGCTAAAATTGAAAATACTTGTAAATACCTTTTTAGGATTCCATCTCCTTGCAGTATCAATTCCTTCTTTTAGGGCGAACGTTTCAGTAAACTCTACCGAACCTATTATTTGAAGAGATCGCTCAACAATTGTCATGATAGTGACCATATCCAATTCAACGACGTTTCTACTTACTTTTTTTTTATTATTATTATCTAAAAACATCTATAACCTACCACATTTTTTTTTTTGTTTTAGGGAAAAAACCTCTTATCTCTGTCACATAGGTATCTAGTAGAGAGAAAAAAATAGATTGACGTATGTTAGAGATATTTTTGAAAAGGTGTCGGAGGCTTTGGATTGGAGAATTTTAGAAAGATAATAAAAGAGAAATTTATCATTTTTTTTTCAATTGTACCATAGGTTGGACTTTTTTTCTGGGTTGTCCATTGGGTGTAACTTTGATTTAAATTTATGTTATTTTTATAAAATTTAAAACTTTTATGTCTTATTTAAAAATACATATTTATTTTATAGAATTGTATCTCCTTGCATGCGAGAGACAACTATGTCTGTCGTTATTCTCAACTCTTTTATGAAAGCAACAAACTTCCTAATGAGGGATCGACACATATTCGCTTTCTCCTTTCTCTCTTCCACCTATTCGCGGAAGGCTTAAGTATCCATCTCTGCAGATATTACTAGGTCGCCAGACATAATGTTCTCTACGACGCTGGAATCGATTTCTACCATTGTCGAAAAGTGAACGGATAACTACCTTTCCCCTTCTCACAATGTTCCCGAACTTGTTAAAGAACCAAAGTATGAATGGTCCTCGAAGTGCCTCATGTTTTGGTACCTCTTTTTCCTTCGCCACTCAAGTGTATGACATCTACCTAAAGAAATTAATGTATTGATAAAAATAGATTAATTTTAATTCTTATTTCTGAGGATAAGCAAGTTTGGATAACTTTCTTTGTTATGAGAATTTACTGAGAAAAGAATTCACTCATATTCCTGCTTTCAAGAGACAAGATGACCTATAAAATCATGCAAAATTATCTCCTAGAAACACAATTTATCCCAAGTTTCGAATTATTTTGAAACTAACCTCTTATATTATCTCCTAAAAAACCTCTTATATTAAGAATTTATTATTATGTTATATTAGCGAAAAGGTTAAATTACAATTTATCTCTAAAATTTCAAAATTGTCTATTTAGTCTAATTATTTTAAAATTTTTATAATGTTTAATAGGTCTTCTAACCTTTCAAAATCGTGTCTATTCAATTCATGTTTGTTAAAAAAAATTTCTATTAGATCCTAAATTTTCAATTTTGCATCTAATAAAGTTTCAATCATTCTAGATTCACGTACTCTTCTCGACTTAATGGCTTTGGATTCAAGTATTTGTGATACAATTATTAAACTAATAGAGCACAAACAAAAGAAAAAAATAATAATTTCATAAACCATTTCAAATTACGATAGACATAAACTCGAAAATTTTGAGGCCTATTTGAACATTTTAAAATATAGAAATTAAATAGCAAAATTAAATGAAGAAACCTAACAAAGAAAAAGTTTGGATAGGATGAATGGCGTCCTCAAGGAGGTCCCAAACTAGTAATTGTGGTGGCCATTTATATTTATAGGTGAAAGTTAAAAAATTGGACAGCCAAGCTAACCTATATGCCAAAATCTCAGTGTTTTTATTGGCCAATGGCAGCATGTTGGACCACACTTCAAAACGGAAGATTTCGATTATTGGATACTCACTTTATTCATTTTCTGTCATGTCAACATCCTATTAAAAGTAACGTAGAGCGAGCCCACTAACATTAAAAAATTATCATTATTATTACTTTTTGACAACAAGCCACTTTTAAAGGTAAAGAGACTTTTTTACGCTAGTAAGAATTCAAACTCACGAGAGATAAACACCCTGTTGAGTTAAACTTCTGTTGGTAATTAAAGAGATTTATTAGATGTTCAAAAATTTATTAGACAAAAACTTAAAAATTCAAACACCAAATCAATAATTTAACCTTAAAAATTTAACCAACTGCTAGCGAAAGAAAAGGGGAAAAAACACCTTTTAATCATCCGCAAGCACTTACCACACTTTTCCAGTGATTTTCTGTTCTGTTCCCAAGGCTCCTTTTGTTTTGGAATTTTACTTCCCTCTTTTTTTTTTTGTATTTCCCAATGAATTCTTTTATTTCTCTTGGTGAAAAGCTTGGTAGATAATAGCCATGATGACAATTTGCAAACCATTAGGAAGGAAATATAATAAACTCTAGTTCACTTTTGACCAATGTTCAAACCATTTAGATTTTGATTGAAGGTTTTAATGAAGTTAAATTCATTAAAACACTTCATTTCTTTAATAAAAATACTTCTATTCCTATTTTCAAATTTGTCATTTTTCCCCCCAAAAAGAAATAATGGTTGTTTTCTCCTCTTTTCCAACAATTCTCTTGCCATCCAAAACAAATATTGGTAAAAGACAGAGATATCCATACTCTTTAACTCCAAATCTGTCCTTAGTGCCTTCACAAGTGAAGAGTGAAGATTATGAAAATTGTTTTCATGAGAATGGCTGTCTCTCTCACATGGAGTAATGAAAGATCTCAAAGAAAACATATCCTCTACAACTACTAATTTCCTCCTTATCTGATTCATGTGGTTATCCTTTAATACACAACTTGCATATTTCAAAATATCTGGGGCGGGGTTGGGGCGGGAGGGAGTTTCAAGTACCTCCTTTCAGTCATGTCTGCAGTAATTGTGGATACAAATATCTTGCAGAAACCTGTAGTCATGAAAATCTACACTGGAAACCTAGTAAATACAAGGAGTTCTAGAGCATACATGTTTAAGAGACAAAACTAATCAAGTTCAATGAGAAAAAAATCCAAAATATGGTTGGCGAAACCTGCATTTATACGCTATCACCAGACACAACGGTAAGTTACATGCGACATGGTCATATCGCCATCGTAAGTCACTTTTACGACTTGCCCCTTCTCAAGTCCATAGTATCGAGCAATAGCATCAGTGCGTAGCATGCGAGGAAGCTGCATTGTATCAAAAGTACGCATAAAAACTTTAAGCAACTGTTGGTAGTTTAAGAAATTTATCGTGCATGAGAATTTAAACAGTAATTACACATGGCATTAAGGGTTATACTTTTTTAAATAAAATGAAACAATGCAGGAGAGCATAAAAAGAAGCCCAAAGGCCCAAACAAACATTAACTAATCAGAAAGGGACTTCAACCCAAAAGAATAAGACCTAGAAAATAATTACAAAAGGCTTGACCGTTGCCTACAAAGAGGTATTAAATCTAACAATATCCCAAACTTATTTCCATGACCTCTCAAACCCTCTGATAATTCTACTATTCCTCTTAAGCCAAGTACCCGACAAGACGGGAAAAACAAGCATGCCAAAGAACTCTGCCCCTATCCTGAACGGGGGAATGCAATAACACCTCCTCTATCATAAAACGGCAGTCTCTATTAAGCCAAGTACCCCACAAGATGGGAAAAACAAGCATGCCAAAGAACTCTGCCCCTATCCTGAACGGGAGAATGCAATAACACCTCCTCTATCATAAAACGACAGTCTCTATTGTACACCGAACCAACATTGAGCATCTCCAAAAAGCAAGCCCACAGTGACTAAGCAAAATGGCAACCCCAATGGTTATGCTCAAAATCAAGGGTAGTATTACTTTGATTCATTTGTCTACCAGAGGGTTGTATTACTATGATTCATTTGTATACCACATACTATGGTTTTCACAGTTTTTTTGCTGGGTACTCAGTCATGCTTCTATAAATACTCAGGACATTCTCCAAAGAAGGCTCCCTAATATGGCCATTTACCCAAGCTGCTGCATCATGTGCATGAAGAATGCTGAATCCTAAGGCCACCTGTTTAACTGTCTTTGCTCATAGATTCTGGACCAAGATCCTTCTCTCCTTCTGCTGTCAGTCCTATCCACACGAATCTGAACTCTATCCTCCATGCTTTTCTCGATGGCTATCCTTTCAAGGAGGAGAAGGGCATTCTTTGGACCCAACTCATTACAACTTTTCCATGAACTCTTTGGATAGAAAGGAACAACAGACTCTTAAACAACAAATACCACTCCTTTGAATCCTTTTCAGAATCAGGTTTTGTAAAGGCTCTTAGCTGGTGTACATGTTTTTACAGTCATTCTACAAATTATAGCCACGATGATCTTTTGTTAAATTGGAGAGTTTTTTTGTAACTCCCAGTCTTTTGTGGTTTTCCTCCCCTTTTGTAATATTTCATAACATTAATGAAATATTTGTTTCTCATAAACAAAATATTGAAAAAAAAATCCTGTTTGGAACCTTCAACAACTTGAAAAATGTTTAGCTCCCTCACCCTGTGTAGTCTCATTAGACAAATTGATCCAAGCAAGGGAAATGAAGTTGTGTTTTTGTGCTCTAATGTAGTAACTCAGATACTCAAGTCATAAAACCCGAGGAAAATAGCTCTTCAAAGTTCAACACATTTCAACGATAAACCACAGAACCTTCAACGATAAACCACATCCTTATGAGAAGTTTTTTGATGCTATTGTTTACAAAGTTGTCACTTGGCGTAAGAACACTCCTTTTTTCATCATGATAGTTACACTTCCCTATTAGTTAATTGGAAGTGATTCATGTAAATCTTCTTAAGAGCCTTTTGTAATTTCACACATCAATGAAATTGTTTCTTACACTAAAAAAAATAAGTTCAACACATTTCTTTTACCAAGCACAAAAATTACCATTATTAGCTTCCAACTGAAGTGACGTTGGCGTACCATGGGCTTAGTCAAACCTCCCGTTCTTTTATTTCTTAGAAACTAAAAGAATGGGAAAGAGCTCTTCGAAGTTGAATATTCCTTCTACCAAGCACAAAAAATTCAATTATAAGATTCTAACTGAGGTAATGAAGCAATGTACTGTGGGCTGAGGCACTTTTCTATTTATGGGATAGGCTGAGTCACTTCAGCCCAAAGTCTAAAACCACAATTATTAATACTTTCCAATCATTCACTGCATAGCCACTAAAAGAACCTAATGATTTGCGGAACGAAATAAGTCTATATCATGTCATACTTTGGATAAGTTTTGCCAAAAAGTTAATAGTCTCGAATGAGATACTATGTCATTTGCTCGCTCAGAGTTCCAGCTATAATAATATTGAAAGATGTTCATTGATGTATGACTCATATCTGCATTTAACATAAATATTAGAAAGGAAAAATTGTTGGTCATTCAAGTAAAGCATGTTTAACATGAGAAAGAGTTTCATTCCTTGGAATATTTTATTAAGGGTTTTTAAAGCATAAGGCAACGGCAGAGAGGAAAATATCCAGCATAAGGCAGCGACGGTTTTATAGTTCTTTGGGGAGGGTTTTCTCTTCCCTCCACCATTAGGATGTTTTTGCTCTTTTGGGCTTTGGTTTATTAATTCCATTTGAGAGGAAAATATCCAGCATTTAATCTACAAGCAATTGTGCAGAAGGAAATATACTTCATAATTAAGTTGTCCACCAAAGCAAATAACAGTGAAAGATTATATATAGAAAAGTAAGCTGTCTAAATATAGTTTATGATACTTCATTGGATCGATATCTTACCTGCTTCTCCTCTATGCTGTATTGTTTCAAAAGCTTTTGTTTTTCTTCCTCGGTTAGCACTTGATGGTTTGGCTTTAACGCATGCTTTGTGATATTAACGAGTAAGTCAGTAATCTGATGTCAGACAAAAAATAACAGTGAATAGAAATCATAGAGGAAATTTAGAATAATGTCTTAAAAATTTGATAAGACATGACATAAAAGTATTAGAGAAAAATGAGTAACATAAAAATTCAACATATGAACTTTTTTAGATTATCTGCAGCCTTAACTTTAAATTTTGGCTTCTAAAGCAACTTTCTACTGCAATTGTTACCACTTACCACTGCCATAGCAACAACATTATTGATTCCAAAATCCGGTTTTCATTAAACAAATTGTAGGTTTGAAGTATAAGAGGAAGCAAAAAATTTTGACATATTTCACGTCCAATGTTGTTTTCTCCCTTATTTGTTCCCCATTACAATCACGTTAACAAAATGGTCAAGCTTCTCTACAGTTCTGTGCATGTAAGCAAATATACCACCTCCAAATATCTAGTATATATTTTATTATTTTTACATTCATAGTCCCAATGATATAGCAATCGAAGGCTTCTTTTTCCTTTAACCATTATAGTACGTTACTGATTAATGATGCATTTAATTTTTTTAGTTAACCAGCCTACGTTTTTATTATACGTAGATCACAGCCTCAGCAGTGTCCACTAAGAAGAAAACACTAAAAACTGAAGTGAGAAGAAAATACTAAAATTTAACATGACAACAAATAAATGACTTGTTGAAACCAAGTATTTTTCAAGATGCCACTGTCAACCAAAGAAAAGCATAAACAGTTTCAAGAAACAAACCTGGAATATTTCAACCTTGAATGAGAAAAGATCAACTGCTTTCATAGCTTGGTTTGTAATTTGATTTTGCACAATTAGAATGAGACCGTGCAAAGTGTCTTTATTAACAATTTGGCCAGCAATATTGCGAATAGCATTAACCTTGACTGAACCAGTCCCACAAAATATTACCAGGATCTGCAAAACAAAGTATCAGGTTTGAAGGGAAAGGTGCTACTGCTACTTTCAAGTGAACCTAAAGGAGTGCAAAACAAGCCAAAACTATGAACACATAGCATAAACATTTACTTATCAGTCAAAAAGAAATATTGTTAGGTAGAACAACCTCATAACCGAAGAGCCAATGCACGGTTGGGAGATAAAATATTTGAATCTCAAAGATCTACTACTGGTTAAACCATACAAATACAATGAGATATTTCCAACCAGCCAAAAGAAGTGCATACTTCTAAATCCAGGTAAGTAAACACAATCAAGTAGGAGCTAGATGTTGAAGATTTTTGGAAAGCCACAAAAACAGTTTGAAAGAATAAATAAAGATGTTAGACTACTTACATAGTTGTAAAGTATCATTATAAGAATCCGTCGTAGAGAAACTTTACTCCATGATCACAATTCATAAGAACTATAGTCTGGTCTACTGCATTTTAATGAAAATCAAAAAAGAAAACATGCAGCACCATCTACTGACTGAAACCTAAAAGTAATATGCCGAATCAACAATCCCGAAGTAACCAAAACTAAACCATGGCGGAGTCTTCATGCCTAATCCACTCTCCCGAGAAACCATAACACATCATTGCGTTGATCTCCCACCCCATGGCATTAACAAACCGAGGATTTACAGAATCAAATGAAAAAAAAAGGTTCACAGGAAGGCATGGAGTCTTACTCTTTTGGAGGGATCGGAGCGATGAACGGCGGAGAGTTTGAGGCGATCAACATCGGGCGATTGGCCGTAAATTTCTCGAAATTGTTGGAGAGTGAGGTCGGCATCAGAGGTGGTGGGAGTGTAACCGCGGTCCCTAAGCATCTCCAGAACTGTTCTTCGGCAAAGGAAGTATCTGTGGCTCTCTGTGGAGCCATTGTCGATGTAGCTACTCAAGCAAGTCCCTAGCTCCACTCTATTCGGTTCTCCCTCAAACCCATCTTCCTCCATTTTCGCTCTCTCTCCCTGCGAATAGAGCTCGCTCAACGTTTCTTGATTAAATTTTGATGCTTTATTTTGGTTATCCTGCAAAATACAAAATAGCTTTTTTTTTTTTTTTCAAAGTTTGGATTACACGTCATCTTCCACCTTAAAAATCACTCTCTGGAACTAAAATTAAAATTAAAACCAGGAAAGATTAAATGAGATTCAAGGATATTGACGAGAAATTAAGGAAACAAATTTAGATTAAATTTTAAATTTGAATACCAAATTACTAAAATGGAGGATATTGAGATTCTGTTTCTTTGAATTCTAATTTTCAAATTTTTAATTAAAAGAATCTTTAATCTCTAATTATTTGATAATTCATTTTAAACATTTTATCTCAACTTTATCTCACTTGCTCAACTTTCTCTCTCTCGATCTCTCTCTCAACTTTCTCCCTCTCTCTCGCTCAAATTTCTCTCTCTTTATCTCCTTCCACATCTTCATCCCCATGGTTAGGCCAAACTTTCTCCTTCCATGAGCTTCCTTCTTCGGCAAATGACCTCCCTCGTCGATTTTGATGCACTCATCGCTGGCGATTGCTGAAGGTCACTGGCGATTATCATGAAGGCTGTTTGTTAAAAAGAAAAGAAAAAAAGAGAGAAGGCCGAGAGATTTAGGATTTTTGTAGAGTAAATAAGAAGAAAACGAGAAACCCAATAAAATTTTAAAGAGAATGAGAGAAAAAAGCCCAAAAAAAAAATACTGGAAAGAGAGAGAGAAATAGAGAGAGGGAAAAATATTCTAAAAAATAGGGGGAGAGATAGAGAGAGGGAATAAGAGAGAAATAAAAAATGACTGGAGGGGTAGTGAAAGTAAATTGATAATTGGGTAATTTCATCAAATGCTTAGAAAACAAGGGTTTTGAAAAAGGTGATTAAAAAACATAAAAAGTAGGGAGAACGTCCATTCTGTCCAATTTCCCTTTTTTTAGGGATTAGTATATTAATGGGCTATTTACGGATCCTAATTACATAAAATGATTGAGTGTATAAAATTTATACTTTTGTCATGAAACAACCCTATTTAAGATGGTATCCATCACCCAAATTACTAGTATATTCTTTTGTATTACACCTTAATATTAAATAATTTTTAAAATCCAGAATTGGTTAATTAGGAGGTTACAATTTAAATCTCTTAAATCTTTCCTTTCAAAAAAAAAATCTAAACCAAACCAAAACCCCAAAAATCCCCAAAATCTTCTATTTTCAAAAAAAAATTGATAACCCCTTCCTCCGAATTTTCTTCTTCCTCTGTCTTCCGTCCGTTTCTTCGTCTCCGACCGTCGTCTACATTCCTTTGTCTCCAGCCGCCGTCTCCATTCTTCTTCATTTTCTAGCAATCCATAAACTATTGTTATTCCTCTGTCATTCTGTTTCCGTCTGCTCCTTCATCTCCGATCGCCGTCTGCGTTCCTTCGTCTCCAGTCACCGCCTCCGTTCTTCTCTGTCGCCGGAGCAGTCCGTAGCTTCTCCTTCGTCTCCGTTTATTCTTATTGAAAGGTTTGCATTCCAATATATCCTAATAGTTTTCTATTTTAGATTTGAACAATGTTGAAAACCCTGTTTTTTTTTCTACTGTTAAACCCTTTCAATGTTCCTTCCATACCCATATATCTCCAATCCAATGGTTGTTTTTTATTTCTGATTTCGTGTGAACTATTGTATGTATGGTGATATATCTTATAGTGAGTTTGATTCCCTATACTGAGTTGAGTTGGGTATATTGGATAAAATATAGAAGTAGTTAGAATTTGGATTCTATATGGATATATCTTATAACTCAAAAATAGAGAAGATAATTGTAAGATATCGAAGTTTATATGGAATTTAGATTATATCCGGATATATCTTATAACTCAAAAAATTTAGTCGGATATGATTTATAATGTTCATTCATACCAATGTTTCTTTCGATGTATAGATAAACTGTATTTTCTTCTCCTTTCAATATTGACATCAATCAATTCGTGCTTCTCGTTACTTAACTTCTGTTAAAGGATAAATCCCAAAAAAAAAAAAACATAAAAGAGCCATTTGAAACCTAGGGACGTAAGAAAGATTCAAAATGAATTGAAACCAAATGTTGTTATTATGGATAACCACAACCCATAAACTAAATATCATAAAAATTCAGCCACAACCCATTACAGTAAGACAAAGCAGACAATGGAAAGAAATTAAACCTTTTAAATAAAAAGGACAGGAAAAAGTGTTCAAACGGAGAGGAACCTGTTGAAATCTGAATGTGTCCGAACGGCTGTGGCTTCTGACAAGCAGTGGGAAATTACACAAGGAGATAGATGAAATTGGATATTTTTGTAATTAATAATATTGGTAAATCATGGCAATAAATCATGGTTTAGGCTAGCATCATTTGGTGAGTGAACTGATACATTTCTATCTTCAGTGAGTTGGAATTTTTTCATGATTTGCTCGAGGCCCATAGGTTCCCATAATAGTAGCTCCTCCCTAACGATCGAGTCCAGCCCATTCATGAAGGTACTTTCGAGGACGTCGTTTGCTATATTTGGTAACGAAGCTGGCCATGCTTCGAAAGTCTAGTGGTACTCTGTAATCGTTCCTTCTTGCAGAATGGAAAGAAAGTGGAAAGAAGGTTTTTGTCTTTTGATTCGCTAAACCGCTCGAACATCCTGGTTTTCAGGTCAATCCAATCCGTAAAACTTCGTCGGCTCTCTACCCACCGGTACCACTTAAGGGTGGCGCCATCAAAGCTGATGACCGTTACGGTCATTTTTTCTTCATCACTCAGGCGGTGAATCTCGAAGTACCGCTCTACTCTAAATAGCCATGAATCTGGGTCATCTCCAAAAAATATGGGCATCTCTACCTTCTTAAACTTGCTTTCAGGCTCCTCTTCCTTCCCTGGTGACAATTCTTCTTGCTTCTTAGGATCCTCCTCAGGTTCTTCCCCTTCATGGTGGAGTTTTGGAGTTTTCATTGTGAGCGACTGTGGTTGCGGGCTCTTTCCTTGCTTCACCTCCAACATGAAACCTTCCAACGTCCGTTGGGTTTCTTCATTCTTATGGCATTGCTCTTCCATCTATGTCTCACCTCTGTTACGTTGTTCCTCTAGTTGAGAGCTAATACGCTGCAAGACCTCCTTGATCCCACTCACTTCTTTCTCAGTCGACTCGCACCGCTCTTCCAGTTGATTCTATTCGTCATCTTTCCTTTTGCCCTAGTCGAACGTGCTCTGATACCAAATTTGTGAAGAAACTCCCCTTACTATTGATATTCAAAATAGCGTAGCAAGACAAGAACAACAACCTTTCGAGAAGGCTGTATTCTCCACGCTAGTCCAATTTATCTCTTACAAAATGAAAAGCATGCCTTATACCTTGGAAGCTCCAAATATATATTCTCTCCCCTAGGACTAGCTCACAAAAGACAAAAGACCCTTAAGGTCAACATCCTAATTGTTAGAGGAGGGAGAAATGCCCCCTTTGCCCCTTCCTACATGTGTGCCTAATGAGAGGCCTAACAGAAAGCTAAGACAAATTTTAAAGTATTGTTCCAAGCTCGAGGCACCTGCCATAATCCATAACTTGCTTTATCAAGTTTACATACATACTGTGGATAGTTAGGATCCTCAAATTCAGGTGGTTGTTGCATGTACACATCTCCATCCAGTCGTCCATTTAAGAACGCATTATTAAAATCAAGGTTTCGAAGTGCCCATTCATTTGTCTCAACAAGAGTGAGAACAACTCGAATGGTTGAAGCCTCCAAAACGGGACTGAATGTTTCAAAGAAGTCTATCCCGAGATTTTGATGAAATTCTTTAGCTACCAATCGAGCCTTGTACCACTGAATGACCGAATTATGCTTGATTTGAAATATCCATTTACTACCAACAACGTTAAGAGAAAGAGAGGAGGGAACAAAATGCCACATTTTATTGCTCATGAGGGCCATAAATTCAGCCTCCATTGCTGCCTTCCATTGTGGTGTATCCAATGCATCTTTCACCCGAGTAGGTTCGGTACAAGTCCAATCTTGCACGGTGTAATTGACCCAAACTTTTGGTTTGAAAATTTCATCTTTCGCCCTTGTAATCATGGGATTAGATGACTGAGGAACCGACGACAAAATTGAAGGAATCTGCGGACTTGGTGATGAAGCCAGAAAGTGTAAGGGTTGACAGTTTGGTGTGAAGGGTTTGAGGGCATGGAAAACACGTGTGGTTGTGGGTTGGCAAAATTGCGGTCTGGAGGGATATATGGTGTGGGCCCTAAAGAAGTAGGTTGATGGGAATTTGATAGATTATTGGTAGGTTGTATAATAATGGGTGCAGACTTGGACATTGGGTTGAGAGTTGAGAATAGGCTGAATGGTGGTGGGTTGTGGCATATTGGGTTGGACATCATTTGAGGCTGAAATAGTGGGTTTGACATTATTTAAGGGATGTAGATTGGATGGTGGTGGGAACCAAGTTGTAATGGGTGGGACAGAAGATGGGTTTGGGAACGTATTCGGGTTGGCCTGAAATCCAAAAGTAAACAGAAAATCATTTTCATTGAATTGGACATGGCGAGAGATGAATATCCAACCTGTTGGGCTCAAACATTTGTGTCCTTTGTGTGATGGGCTTGGACCAAGGTAAACACACTTGATAATGTGAAACTGAAGCTTTTGTGATTGAAACCACACCCGAACGTCTTGAGATATGCAAAATTCATACTTTTATGAATTAGTAATTCCATAGGAGATTTACCACCTAACACCGGAGTGGGGAGCCCATTGATTAATAGCGTGGCCGTAAGAAAGGCGTCCCACCAGAGGCTTAATGGCATGGAAGCTTGGGCTAGTAGAATTAATCCCATCTCGGCAATATGTCGATGCTTACGCTCAACCCGTCCATTTTCTGCAGATGTATATGGACAGGAGAATCTTGACTGAATTCCCAATTGAGAGCAAAGATGATGAACTCGACTATATCCTGTACCATTATCGAACTGTACCATTTTTACTGTCCTATCAAACTAAGTTTTTACCAATGTAATAAAGTGAGTAAAGGCTGCAAATGTATCACTTTTTAATTTTAACGGATAGATCCATGTGAACCGACTAAAATCGTCTAGAAAATGAACATAATAACGATAGCTGTCACTGGCTGCAACTGAAGCGGGCCTCCATAAATCAGTATGTATTAACTCAAATGGAGCAAGAGCATGAGAATTGGACATTAGAAAAGCTAGGGAATGGGACTTGCCAAATTGACATGCTTCACAGAAATTGAAACTATCATTGAATTTCACTGGTAACTTACAACTTATTAGTATAGTATCAAAAAATTCAAGGACGAATGCCTGAGTCGCTGATGCCAAATGACTTTAGACTCCACAACATTTACATCAGTAGCTAAATTAGACAACATTAAAGCAGAGTTATCATGAAAAAGGCTTGCCGACTTCAAACTACTTGAAAATTGATCTGAAGCTTTACCGGTGAATGTTCAAACAGTATCCAATTTGTAAAGGCCATCTTTAAAGACCCCCTTTAGCACCACATTGCCGGTACATATATCCTTAACAATACAAGAATCAGCATGAAATTCAAGATAAATATTATTATCTTGAACAAGTTTAGATACCCTCACAAGATTCTTTACAAAATAAGGTACGCACAATACATTCTCAAGATTAAGAAGTCCATTTTCAAAGACTAAGCACGATTTACCAATATGAGAAATAAACAACTTGTGTCCATTACCAATAGTTACTGTTTCCTTACCTCCATATTCAACTGGGTTGATAATATCATTGTAGTCTGCTGTAACATGATTTGAGGCTCCGCTATCCACCGTACCAGCTTGGATCAACCATTGTCTCCAGATTTGCAACAAACGAATTAGTGTTTTGTATTGTAACAAAGGCTTGAGAAGTTGTACCTTGAGAGTTACCACCATTTTGTACAGGTGCATTATATGAGTTGGAACCATTACTCTTAGTCTGATTCTAACTAGGTCCTGTAAATTTTTTATCAAATCTATGCCACACACAAATATAGAGTGCCCAGATTTTCCACAAACTTGACATATTTGACGATTGACATCATTGTTGTTCCATTTTCCTCTTCCACGATATCGACTTCCACTACTCCTCTGGTTATTGTTCTGGTTATTGTTCAAATGTTGGCGCTGACCTCTATTGGGATATTTGCTATTTGCCATATTTAATGTAGGAGTGTGATTGAACGCTACTGTGTTCTTCTGTGAGTTTTGAAATTCTAGTCTTTTCTCAAAGACGAGTAGTTCCACTTGTATTTCAGACGAAGAAATACCAGCTCTCCCTTTAATCATAGCAATTACTGGATTATACTCCTCATCTAACCCGAGCAAAACTTAAGAGATTAATGATCGAGTGGGCACAGGACTACCCGTTTGTCCCAAATTATCTGCATGAGACTTCATAATACACAAATAATCAGTCATTTTTAGTGAGCTTTTACGAGTTTGTTGAAATACCTAGCGAAGGAAGTATTCCTCTGCTTGTGAATGAACTCTAAATAATTCTTGAATGGCTGTCCAAAGGTCTCTAGCATTCTCGTATCCCATAACTCGTACTGCCACTTCAAGGGTCATTGAGTTATACAACCATCCAAGAAGAAGCTGATCAACGAGTACCTATGACTCATACGATGGATTTGTCGTCACTGCAGTTGCCGAGCTTGATGCTCCTGTTGCTGTCGCATTTGTATCTACCGTTGGTTGCACAAATGCTGGTGGACATGGTGTTTCATATGAGAGATGCCCTTCCAATTTGTAGCTTCTTAGAATGGGTAGCGTTAAATTTTTCCACAGAAGAAAATTTCCCCGATCAAGCTTGATTGAAGATACTTGATTCAGCAGCTGGTTAAGGGGTGGGCTCTGATACCAAATAAAGATTAAGAGAAAATAGGGATTGCAGCTTGAAGGTTTCAATATTTTATTGAAGAAGCAAATGCTCTGTATTTAAACTACATTCAGCCCTTGAATTAGGGTTATAAAATAAAGAAATATTGATAATAATAAATACACAAATATAACAAACTCTCCAGTTGTCGACAAGTAATTGAATGAAAATTTTTTTATAAATTATTTTCACTCCCAGTTCAGTTAGAGGAAGATTCCAGAATGGCTACGTGGCTTTGTTTCTAGAACACCCTTCAATAGTGGAAATATCCTTATCCTTAACATGATAGGGTAAAGATGGTAAGATTACAAGCTTTCATATATGAATTTTTATTCCATAAAGACTGAAAGTGTTAAATATTTTTTTAATCATATTCTTTCTATTGTCAACCATTTGAGATCAAAGGGAGAAAGAAAAAAGTGTTCAAAGTGTTGTTGAAAAGATTCTTAGTAGTATGTCCATAAAGTTTGAGCATGTTGTTACTTCACTTCTCCTAAGGAAGTTTTCCATATGCAAACCTACTTTAAAGGAGGTTCTCGCGGAAGACGCAGCAGGTCGTGGTGGACGAGAAGGTGGAAGAAATTACGATAATATAAATGATGCAAATTATGAAAACAAGCCAGAAAACTTTTCTTTATCTCGAAGAAAAGTAAGCACATCAGGAAGATGTGAGATGTTTCTATAATTTACATTGGTTCGATTTAGGCAAAACCTGAGGTGAGCCAGAATTTTTCCTATTTATTTTTTTAACTTTTTAAATTTATTTCTCAATTAATTTTTTAAATCTAATTAATTGCTTAATTTACCTCATTTACATGGTCTATCATCCTCTATGTGCTAAGTCACATGCGATGAGTAGCCTTTTAACTTAAAACATAGAGTAGTTTCAATTCAATTAATAAAGTATATTTTAATATATTTTATCATCATTTTGTCTCTTAACTTTAACAATTTGTGCCAAAGTGAGTCTCCATGAAGAAAGGCCTTTTTGACATCGAGCTGATGCAGTGACCAAGATCTGTTAGCTACAACTGACAGAATGACTGTTAAGGCTAGTCATCATTAGCTCTTTGTCTTTCTAGCCGCTTTCCTTTGCATAGCCTTACGGTAATTGACATATATCTCCAACCACGAGGTTGTGAGTTCAATCCCCTACCCCCACATGTTGTATCAGGAAGAAAAAAAAAACTTTAACAATTTGTGACACGGATTACTTGATTGAAAAAACAATTTTAATACATTAAAGTTAAAATCAAAACTTGTAAAACATTCCGAAAATAAATTGCAAAAAGGAGAGGATTACTATATTTATTTTTTTTTTCTTTTTTGGAAGGATAAAGAAGATGAATGTCTGATGGTCATGAATATCAAAATGTGAATTTTGATTAATAAAATCAATGTTATAACCTAGGCCCAATTTGAAGTTGAGAGCCTCTAACCCAATAATTTTTTTAGATTAAAATACAGTTTTAGTCTATAAACTTTTTACCTCGATTTCATTTTAGATTCTAAAGTTTCAAAAAATTATTTTTTAGTCCCTCGATAGGTTCTAAATTTAGTGTTAAAGTCTAAACTAGTGTTAGATTTGTTTTAGAAAAGAAAGAAAGACGTTAGATTTGTTTTAGAAAAGAAAGAAAGACGTTAGATTTGTTTTATAAAAATAATCTTTGCTAAAAGATTTCGAATTTTCGGGACAATTAAAAAAACCTTAAAGTTTAAGGGAATGGTTAAAAAAAATTTTCCTTTAATTTAATACAATAAATTGGGGGTATAAGTTCGATCCTCCGACTTCAAGAGGAGTAAGTGTCAATTATTGTTGAGTTATACCGACGTCGGCAATTTGCAATCAATTTTAACTGCTCAAAAATTGGGATAAAGAAATATGTTTATAAATATTAACAACTAACTGTAAAGTAGAAGTGTTTTGTTTCACATGTCCAACTCAGCACGGTTTCTATGAACACAACTGAATATGACATTAAACTGTTTTTACAATTTTCAAAACAACTTTCAACAATGAAACAAAATACCATGGAAAACTAGAAAAGTAAATAGTGATTCTTTCAAAATGTTACTACTTGGAAAAGACTGTCTTACTTGAAAACGCATTACTCTAAAACGTTATCCCAAACTCACTTAAACCGTCTAAAACTCAAAAGATCAACTAAAAAAAATCAGTCAAAGAGTATGTTGTAAAACTAAACACCCTTGAATTTATGGTTCAAACCATGGTGACAATCTACCTATGACAGCATTCAAAAGTTTCCTAGGTTTTGCATGATGACATACAAAACAACGAGAACTCCTACAATTTTGTCAATGCGAATACTATTTAAGAGATCAGTGACAAGATGAACATCTTCAGGATCAAACAACAAAGAGAACGTGAGAGACACCCTCCAAGACAGAGATGCCAAAGAACAGAACAAAAAAAAAGGTACATGCATCAGATTTGACCAATTCACTTCTTTCGTTGTTCTCAATGAAAGTTGTTCTTTTCATCTAAAAAAGATTTGACCAATTCACAGAATAATAATCATTGCCACCTGCTTACTTTGTTCATATAATTGTTTTTAGTAACCTACTGTGTAGAATAATATGCTTAACAGTCTATCTATCACATGACTCCATTTAAGCATTGTTTTCTTATGGGATACCAACTTTCACTAAGATAAACAAAAGAACAAAGAAAAAGGGAAGACCCAAAAAAAGAAAAGGGCCCAGCCAAAAGAGAGTAATACAAAAGCGTATTAAAAAGAAACTCAACTTTTCAACTAAAAAACTTGGATGATTACACAATAAATTTGAATTTACAGCTAAAAAGATGCATTATGATGAGTCAAACTCAAAAAATGGAGTGTTTTGAGCTTGTTTAGACATGTTAGAGCAAATTTAAGAGAAGTGCAAAAAGGGTTGGGTCGAAATCGAAAGACAAACAGTAAAACCAATGCACATGAAGTTATGAATTAAACTATGGTGATCACCTACTCAGGACATTCACAAGTTCTCGAGTTTTGGTTTCAAGTCCTCAGGGATATGCTAAGTATTACTAAAATGTCAACCAGTTTCAAGATGAACATCTTCTCAGTAGCAAACAAAATAGAGAATGCAAGTCCATATATCTTCCATATAACATGTTTGTCCACATAACTCAATATATGTTGAAGAACACATGAAAACATCACTTTTTTCTTAATGATTATACACTGTTCATGGAGAATGAACAGATAAATCCAGCAAATTCTTCAAGCAGCTAGCAGAGAAGCAGCATTTTGATTTCATACAAGTTATATTATAGCAGCAATGATAGTGATAAATGATTGAGTAAATACCTAAGTTATTTGCAATTCAGGAGCAGCAATGTGGGCATTTGATCAACCCATTTTCATTGCAATTAGGGCATCTTCTCAACTCTCCTTCGTCTTCCTCAAACACCTTCCGGCTGCCATAGCAGTTCGGGCATGGCAGAAACCTTGCTCCCCCGCACCTTTCGCACTCAGATTTCACATCCCAAACAGGAAATCCCACCAACAGCTTCGCCAATTCGCCGTACTCATTCAGCTGTTTGATCTCCTCAGCGCCGCCGATGTACTTCCCCCTTATGAACACTTGCGGCAAACTCACCGTCTTCCCTCCAATGGCAGTCTGCAGCTCTTTCCTGTACGACGAATCCATGGAAATGTCTCGTTCATCCACCGGAACTCTGAAGCCTCGGAAGATTGTGCGAATCGAACAGCAGTCTTCGTAGGTTTTCCGAATTCCTCTCAAGCTCGTGAAGTAGATTACCACTTTGTGTTGTCCGCCGGGGAGACGGAACCAGCTGTTGGAGAACGACGAACACAGAGGACTGGAACCGACTGATTTCGCGCTACTCCGATTGCCATTGGACCCTAATTGGCGCGAGGACAGCGCTCGCCGGTAACTGAAGACGACGTTAGGGTCCAATTTCGCGAGCAGAGCTTCCTCGGACAAATGCTGCCAAAGCGGCTTCACCATGGAAGACGGCGAAAGCGCATCCTCCGTTTTGTCCAAACAATTCGCCGATCCGAGGGTGTTGAAGGGAGTTTTCGTAATCGTTTTGGCAACCGCGAGGTCGGGGTTTGGAATGGCGTCGGAGTTGAAATCGAAGTCGTCGAGGCCGTCCATTAGCTCCCAGGTGTTGATGACGGAATCCGGCGACAAGGCGTGGTCGGGATCCGGCGGGTCCGGCGAAGGAGACTGGTCGGGAAAATGCTTGGGACGGTCAATGAGGAGGAGAGAACCGTAGGTAGTGGAAGTGAGAGTGACAAGATGGTGGGTGTCGCCGTCGCCGACGGGCGGATGGTGGATGAGCGGCGTAGGGAGAGAGAAAGCTCCGGCGACCGGCGGAGAAGAAGCAGAAGCAGAAGAACTTTCAGGGTCTGTAGGGGGGAAGCTGATGGGTCTGGAAGCAGAACAGCCCATGAATTCGAACCAAAAAACTCCGAGAGAGAATCAAACTAAACAGGAACAGGTTGTTCTTGTTGTTCTTGTTAAAATTCTTCAAACTTCATGCTCTGTTGATTTTGGAAATTGTGATGAAAATGGAGAGAGAGAGAGAAAATGGTGGGTAAGGAAGGAGAGGAGAGGAGAGGAGTGAGGAGTGAGAAGAAGCTGTGTTGTGCTAAAATCTTACGGAAAATGAACAGCAGAAGACGCGGTTGGAACTCGGGAAATTGGCTTTTTGAATTTATTGAATATTTTGCTAAACTAAAACACACCCCACACTGTTCGCAAATATTACATCTTTTTATTTGGATAAATAGCCCTCTTTCTTCCCCCCAAAAATTATAATGCTAAAGTAGGAATAGTCATGTATCCTCGACCAAAAAATGGTGGGTTCAAATTTGAGCGAGACATATATTTTTTAAGAAAAATATTTTTTTTGTCTCTAAGATTTGGAGTAAGTGTCAATATTAGGTATGTATCTAGTTATTTCCTAAAGTTTCAAAATACAGACTTTTGATCAATGAAATTCATTTGAGTGTTAGTTGACCAATTGTGGTTTTCTCTCTCTCCATCTTCTATTCCTCTCTCCTTCCTTTCTCTTCCATCTTCGGCCAACGTTATCGTCCCCACCGCAATCGCCATTGTCGTGCTTCCTTCAATGTCGTCATCATTTGTTGCTGTGTCGTGTCGTTCACATCAGCGAGAGAGAAAGGGGGAGGTCTCCCTCTTTTGTTCCAGATTCGGAACAATCTATTTCTCCTTCCTCTCACCAACGACTATGAAGCGGAAAGAACGACGTTTTTGTAATGACAACATGACTACAGTGACAAGGACAATGACAACGTGGTGACAGCGATGGGGACAACGCGACGATGGCGGACAGTGGGTTGGCAATGATGGCAGCAATGTTGGTTAGAGATGGGAGAGAAAGAGAAAGGGGGAGTAAGAGAGAAAGCTACAAACCATGAGTTAACAGTCAACTAACAGTCAAATGACCATTTAGAACCATTTCTTAAACCTCAAGGACCAAAAATGTTTATACTTCATGTACCAAATAAGCACCTACTCTAAACCTTATGGACAAAAAATGTTCATTTTGAAAATTCAAAGACCAAATAGACACCTACGTTAAACCTCATGGACTAAAACTGTATTTTTCCTTATTTTTTAAGGAAATGTTGGGATTCAAATTCTCACCCCATATGATGTAAAACTGAACAAAATAATGTGGGCCCATCAAACAAAAATAATATATTATTTAATGATGTATCGAAATGTAAATATAAGAAGAATGTACTACGGTAGTATTATAAATTTTATCTCTTCATGAGGAGCAGTTAAGACATCTTACTTCATCCCTAGATATCAAAATTCGATCTCTCATCCCCACATTTATTGTACTAAAAAAAAATCTCATCCCCACATTTATTGTACTAAAAAAAATCATATTTTAGTCTAGGGGAAAATATCAATTTTAACTTTGTAATTAGCCAGGTATATCAATTTTTACCATAACATTCAAGTTCATCAAATTACGCTTTAAACTTTAAAAAATGTTACAATTTTTACTTTCTAAGGAGTTTTTGTTTGAATATTTGTTTAAAAAAAGTATTCTATCAAAGAACTATAAAATATATATTAGGTATAAAATTGAAATCATTCAGTCAAAAATTATATTCAATTGATGTTTTTTTTAATTGGTAAGTTTTGGCAGAATTATTTAATGGTTGATTTTGTGTATTAATCCCATTTAATTTTGTGTAAAACTTGATTTTCATGATATTAGCAAGTTTTAAAGGTTTTACATTATTTTTGTTTTTTTTTTTTTGTTAAAATTAGTGGATAAATTTACAAAAATTGAATGAGAAGACAAATTACAATACATATCTAAATTTTGAGTTGAATGGGATGAAATTTAAAGTTCTTGGTAAAAATGAGCACAAAAGAGTAAATATTGAATTCCTAAAAAAAAAAGTAAATATTGAATTTTTCCTTATAGTCAACCAACGAACTTCATCTTTTTTTCTTTTTCGTTTTTAATAAAAGAACATGTGAGGGTGAGATTCGAATTCATAACCTTTAGGTCAAAGATATGTAAGTTGAGCTCAGCTTGGATTGGAAACCATAAATAGAGACAAAATTTTTAGAAAAAAAAAATCAAAATTTAAGGTGTGAGTAGGGTGAAATAGAAACTCAAATTTAAATTTAAAACAATATCCCTTTTAAAAACCAATTTCTTATTAATGTTTAACCAAAAATTAGGTCAAAATCACTTGAGAAGTCATCTCCAAGTGATTGACCAAGGATCAGATTTTGGATTTGTCCAACATCGCTTAAGAATCATTGTCGAACATGTATTTAAAATTGAAGTGATTTTGACATTAGTGAAAGTGATTCTAATAATGCCAAAATCAGTCCCAAAGATATCTGTCTATACTTTTTTTTAGTGTATCAGTGTGTGGAGGTAGAGATTCGAACTTCCAATTTTTTGATCGAGGGTATAAACTTTAATCAACGATATATATTAGCCAAATTTCAGTTATATATTAATATTTTGATTTCCAAAATCAAACCCTAGTGGAATAACAACAAATCCCAATGCATCCATGTGAATATTTTGTAAAGAAATGATGCTAGCGAAGCAAATAAATAAAAATGGTAAATTTTGACCTTCTAGAATACATGCTATACTAAAATTTTGTCACCATTCATTCAACTCCCTAATGTTTTTCATTTCGCTAAATAGCTCATAGTTGGGGATTGAGGAAAAATGACCCATAAATTTTCGTTTAAAATGTAACCACCATCATATATATTGAATCACATACATTTTTATTATGGTTTCTTATCCTTTTATTTTAAGAATGTGTTTAAAATTAAATTTAGCCTAACATATTCTTTTTTACTTATCATAATGATCTAGACGTCATTCGTTTCTTTATTGGGTTTAGAGGGACACGTTTTATTGATAAAGATTGATTATACTAAGTTTCCATATTTTATTGTGCAAATTATTATTATTATTATTATTATTATTATTATTTTTAAAGATGTTAGATGATTAATTAAAAGAGGACTTTGAAGAGTTTGATCTAAGATTTTTGTCCCTTTCTCTAGAAAGGAGACTAGGGATTATACCTATACTTTTGATTTTTGTCGTTTATATAAGATCTTTAAGGTTTAAATATTATCGTGATCTATGTACTTTTGACTTTGGTTCAGTTGATTTTTGTATTTTAAAAATGTTCTTACTTTGAACTTTTGTTCATTTTAGTCATTGTATTTTCAATATATCAATTTTTTGGACATTGTACTTCTACAAAGTGATCATTTTATTCAATTGTAAAACTTTAACACAAATTTTATTCATCGTGGAAAATCCTTTTAATACAATATTTTTTTTGCTACATTTCAATAAATTTAGTGAGTGAGGTGTAATGCTAAAATTATGATTAAAAAATGATATAAAAATAAAAATAAAAGAACCAAAATGGTCACTTTTTAAAAAGTAATAGACCAAAATGAATATTTCGAAGTATGAAGACTAAAATGAACAAAAATTGATAATAGAATGACCAAAATAGACGTTTTGAAAGTATATTAACTAAAATGAACTAAAGTGAAAAGTAAATAAACTTAAATCAATTTTAAAATTAGTTTTGAATATTTTTTTAAAAAATAGGTTTGGAAAAGTGGCTCGAACAAGCTATTTTTCTAATTTTGTGTATACCGACATCTGAAAAGAAAAAAAAAAAAAAAAAAGTCACCAAAAATCCCTACTGCCAAACAAACAAACAAACAAACTATTCCTACTGCCAATTTTTCTGTTGTGTTACAGTACAAATTCACCCAAAATCTGAATAATGACAAGAAAAGCAACAAATGAGCAAAACTTCCTCCCATGTTTTTGTGAGTTTTTCTTTCCCAATATATATCTATTTTAGAACAACAAAATATATGAGCATTTTGTCTATTTAAATTTCGTTCTATTCAATAATGATTTAGTTGTAGTAAAAAAATATTTAATAATCTTCTTTAGGTGTGTTTGATAATCATTTTATTATTAATTTTATATTTTAAAAAATTATGTTTATTTTTTACAGTTTCGTTTTTTACCTCTAGAAAATATATTTGAATTTTTAGGTAAATTTCAAAAACAAAAATTATTTTTTGAAAACTATTTTTTTTTTTCAAATTTGACCTAAATTTTAAAATGTTTATAAAAACCATATAACAAAACAAAGTAACGTATATAAACGAAAATAATGTTTCAAAGTTTAACTTTTAAATAAAAAAAAATAAAAAATAAAATTGTTATCAAATCAGATTTTAGTTTTTGGTTTTCTATTTTTCAAAATTATGGTTGTTTTTTTTATAGCTTCGTTTGTAAGTTTTGAATCTCTCTTGAAAACATATTTGAATTTTTAACCTCGTTTCAAAAACAAAAGCAAACTTTTGGAAACTACTTTTTTGGTTTTCAAAGTTATGCCTAGATTTTGAAAATTTTATTAAAATTATATAACCACACAAAAAAATATATATATATATATATACACATACATATACATAGATGAGAGTAATGTTTCTAAGTTTCATTTAAAAAAAAGAAGGTTATATAACGGAACCTTAGCTATATTTAATAAAAAGGACATTTGTTTATCAACAATTTTCATTAAATTAAAAAATTTAGTTTCTATACTCTTAAGAATTATATCTATTTAATTTCTAAACTTAAGTTTTAAAATTATGTCATTGAACTTTGAATTAAAATTTTATAGTCTAAGGTGTTTAGTAATGTAATTAATGGATTGTTGACGTTATATGCCTATTAGTTAAATTTGGACCGAGCTGACATAGTTTGACAAATAGGTGAAAATAATAATGGATACGTTAATATCAATATTCAGTTAGAAGGACTAAACAAAAATATAATACAAAGAAGTGTAATAAAAACTTTTTAAGGTTTAAATTCATAATTTAATTGTCAAATCTTAATTTTGTAAAAAAAAAAAAAAGATTTTAGTGAAGTTTCAAAAACTCAAGAAAATAGTATAAAAATTTAATTTGTTTATTTGGTATAAGTAGAAATTACACCTTTAACAAGTAAATTTTGTATATTGCACCTAATATTTTTAAATTAAAAATTTTGAAAAATCTGAAATACATTCTAAAAAAAATTATTAATTTTTTAATAAAATCACACAT